CAAGAATGTATACTTCTTTTCTTCTATTCCTTGCTAAATTCTTAAAATGCTTGGTCTACCCAGAGGGGGATGTACCACTTCAATAATCACTTCATGTACTGATTTCACATATATCCAGTCTAACACAGGTTAATTAAAAAGAATCGTGAATGATGTCAGAGAAGAGTGAATTATATATTCAAATATTGAGGTCCTTTGGTATTGGTTGGTATTTTTTAATATGTTGTCTCTTTCAGGATGAGTGCTATGAGGCCCATTGATGGTTCATCCCATATTAAAGTTGATAATGCCGCTACCCGCCAGGGTTCCATCAAAACAACTTATCAAGTGCCAATAGTAAATATATCAGAGAAATTGTCAAAAAATAATGTTCAATATACAATGTATTCACATTTGTAATCTCAACTGATCCTACCCTTTGCACTTGCTCGAGTTCGCTTCGAGAAGAACTCCTCGAGAACTTTTTCACCACTCGGGTTGTTTGTAACTAGACTCTGCACGCAAGGTAAACTGAGCTTTTTAGTAAAGCATAAATCATAAATTCAGTATATGGGGTAATCTTATCCCGTATCAGGACTATAGTCCTGGACCGAGCGCAATCGTTTGCCTGTACGATTACAGCTTGGGAGAATTATCTACACCCCTTACACTTAAGATACCTACTGTACTTCAATGGATTCCTTGGTATTTTAGCATTCTTTTCGTGTAGTTGAATCCACAATTGTCTGGGTATATCGTCAGAACGGGAACATTTTTCTTTTTCATCGAGAGAGATTCCATCACTTTCCAAGATGGCGGTTGGATTTAAAAGGGGATTCCAAGTTTGACTGGACCGGAAGTGGACCGGAAGTACCAATAAATGGAGGAATTTGACGGTTGAAATAAGTTAAATATTACACGCAAATATTGCTATCAAAAACGAAAATTTCTTCGTTCTGCCGATAAACCCAGACAATTGTGGATTCAACTACATAAATGGTAAAATACCAAGGAATCTATTGAAGTAGGCATCTGAAATTATCTACGCCCCTTACACTGTGTAAGGGGCGTAGATAATTCTCCCAAGTTGTAATCGAACAGGCAAAAGATTGTGCTCGGTCCAGGACAGTCCTGGCATGGGATAAGGGTAATCAGCAGCTACAATTTTGGATTCCAACTATCCATTCACCTAAAATATTTGATCTTTGATCCTATAAGGTCAAAATGCAAAATCAAGCATTTGGGTAATTGCCAAATCTTCTTCTAGTTGTTAGTTAGTTGTAAGATCTATTAACTATTTGGAAGGCCTAAATCAGTTTTCACATAGAGCTACTCAACTATGAGTTTCTCCCCCTAAGGAACTCTTTATGTTACTGTAAAGCCTGGAGTAGATCTCTAGCAGACTTGATTACATAATTACAGATAAGATGCAGTAATCATGAGAATTTCTACTAATTAGATCATACAGTTCACTCAGCAACATTATGAAAAACAGATAAATATAAATCTACCTATAAGTCGAGTCGAAGAACTACAAAAATGGATATTTAGAACAAAAACAGATCTCAGGGTTGTCTTATACTAATCCTGCTTTGTTTTGCATACAAAATGTGAACTTCTTTACTCTTTGAAAGAGCCCAAATTTTACTATACTCTATTAAATTAGATTCTTTTATCAATCCTATATCTGATCAAATGAAAGTCATCAAAATCATGAAACTACAATTTCTGCCTATAAGTAGCTTGTCTCACATTTGAGACTGTTAAGACCTTATCCACATCACAATTGAATACCACAAAATCATCTGCAATAGTTAGAGAGTAGCTGGCTAGTAGCCACTGCAGATGAACTGCTTTCTATTACAGTTTTTATGGTCAGTTGATCTGGGCGGATAAGAGGTGTAACCCAGATACGGGTCAAGATATCCACTTGGGATCAAAGTGATTTGTCTTATGTAAAAATGTTGAAACACTAAGAAGAGAAATTCAAGTACATGCATTGGTGCATACTTTGTTTATTGCTCTCACTGGAGTTTATCTGACTGAGATAAAAAGTTGTTAGTTCTTTAGGTCTTTGGATAAGCTTTAACAGGTTAACATGGTTAGCAAGGAGATGAATGATAAATTGACAAGCGTAAGAAATCTTTTTGCAGATTGCTTCTGTAATATAAGTACTATGTGACTTTTAATTATCATATGTGATGCAAATGTGAAGGAGCTTCATTAATAATCCCATTGTCTCCTAAAGGAGAAGCCACTTAATTTTTCTTCTCAACAACTCTAACTTATGAAGGATTAGATTGTTGAAAAATGTGCTCTCAAGACACCTTCATCCCCCTCCTGTGCTACAAGACAACCTAGAAGAACAGAATATGAATACTGATTTGTGCATTGTGTACCGTACTAAACAATTAAAATCACCCCATGGTGAAAACCTAGCAGTAGTAAATGTCAAAATTATTCTACTGTTCAAAGAGATTTATTTCATAACTTTCTGTACTTAGACCAACACTTACCATTAATCAAAATCAGAATAATAAAAACTGCATATAACTTCTCTCTGAGGTCAAGAGAATGGAAGTAGATAATGACAACATGTCAAAAATGTTTAGAAAATAAAGATGATCTTTGACCTGAGTGAATGTGTTTTCTTCTGATTGTGCTTAGTGAGATATCTCAATGTTCCACTTCCAAAAGATTTTATTACAAGTATATATTAGAACTGTGTCAATTACAGAGTATGATATAAACTGTAACTCCTATATTTCATAGGAAGCATTGAATAACAATTTAAGACTCAATTAATCGAGGCCTGTAAGATACTCCTTCATCATATTTGTACTGTGGCAAGAGGATGGATGTTGAATACCGAACCTTTTATTTGAAGGAGAATTATGAATTTGGCCACATGTGTAGTTTAGCCTACCGTGTTTCACAAATATATTTGTTTACCCATTTTGTATGTTTCCACATGTTTTCCACCTACTATTATTGACCATTCCCCACCTATATCTAATAACACCAGTGTAAAGGGCTACATGAGCAGGAGACAAGCCTAATAAGGAAATACATGCTAAAGGCCCCCTTCATAGACTCAGACAGACAAACGCATACCTTGAATATAAAACCATGATACCTGTTCAGACATTACAAGGATAGAGGAGATAGTAAATAACAATAAAAATGTTAGGAAATATATTAGAATGGTTAATAAATTGCCATTGTAAACTATTGAGAATATACAGATTTGTTTACCTTACATGATTATATATGATTAATCATAACTATTGTATCGGAGTATTGTTTGATTTGTCTTATCTTTATTTATACAGGAGTATATAATACTCATTCAGAATGGGACGAGTCAATGTACAATTATGAAAACATATTTCAAATCTTCATTTTATTAATCCGTCAAGCACAAAATCATGAGGAGAGTTGACCTTTTCATTACAGTTTTGAGTACAAATTAAGGGGGTCTGTGTTATTTTTTTGTAAAGATATCATCTAATGAGTGGTTTAACCAAATTTCCTAAAATCTTTTTCCTAAAATTTTTATAAAACTGGTCAAAATGCTTATATAAGGTTATATACATGTATATAGAGAGAGGTGAGTCAGATATTCTGAATAAAATCCAGGATGTAATGTGCATAAACCCCTACAAATTCCCCTTTCCCCTAACACTAACTACTTTGTTTTACCCAATCTTAAAACATACTTCAATATTTACACAGAATGCATTTCAAACTTTCTGAAAATTGCTATCTGGGTCCTAATACCCAACACGGCCTTTCCGTAATACAGAAATGATACATTTACTAAGGAAAAACACCAGGGAGGAAATGAAAGTACCTTCAAAAATAACATTCTATTTAATTAGTCTTCTAGCCAATATACATAACTCCTGATTGTCATGCTTGATCATTGATTATAGTCTCAGTCAGGATCATAAGCTAGGGATCGTAATAAAGGTGTCCTCTTGATCTTTTAGGCGGGAAAGTAATCTTAAAGACATCACTCCGATCACAAGATATTAATAATAATCATAATCATGAATGATCATAGAGAGTAAAACATGAATATAAAAATCTATTACTTTATAATAACAGGCTTGACATTTTTGTTCTTCCATTCCCAGTGTTCCCTCTCATTATGGTGGCACTGGGAGATAATTCCTAATTCTTTAAACGCTTCTGAATTACAATAGAAAATAACTATTTAGTTCATATTTATTGGGCCAGTAGACATGTGGAGGCGGTACAAGGTGGGGCCACACTATGCATTTCTTTCAATTAGAAAGTCTAGAATAATATTTAGAATTGATTTGATTTTGATAACAGATTAACATTACATGGGAAATATTTATTTTCTATGCAAATGAGGCAAGGTATTACAATGGGCTTTCAAAAGTAGCTTTCTTTATAAAGATTAAAGGCAATCAAAGATTCACAGTATTTTATTGCTATATGATATAAATTCGTGGAGATATCAACGATTCAAAGTGCAAAAAATGGGGGGAAATGTTTAAATTCTCCCGAATAATAGATGTGGTGGTAACCAAATTCATAGAATAGAAAATTGCTACATTATTGTAAAAAGCCTTAGTTTTTCTGCAATAAAATATGCACTTTTTTAGGAAATAGACAAGACAAAGAATGATATGAGCCAAAAATACATATTCTAAAACAGAAACAAAGTTCTAAGAACTTGGAGCAAGGCTGACTTTCATCTGCTTTTTATGCAATTATAATGTCTGCAACATCTTAACATCTTTTTGATTATTCAACTACCAAAATCTTTAATGAAAATAAACCCTAATCAACAGGTGTGAGAATTATTTATATTTTATGCAAATTAGATCATGATCCTTTCACGCAATCTTGAAAGAGCAAGATTATGTAAGATCATAGAAATAAGCGAGACAAGATTATTTATGTCCAAGAGACAGTCTTTGATCAGAATATTTATTTGTTATGCAAATGAGCAACCTGGACATTGTGTCTCCCGCCTTTCCACCAGAAGGGTATAAATACCAAGCAGTTTTGGAAGAGAAATCAGTTACATTTCACAATCTCAAAGAGTCAACATTGAATGCTATTATCACACACAAATTTTTCAATCAGTTAGTTTTATATAAGTCAGACAAGTTGAGTATTGAAGAAGGCCGAAAAATAAACTAGAGAACCAATGATGGATATGAATAACAACAACATGATGCCAATCCAGCAAAACACTACACAAGAATTTAGGAGCGCAATGAACATTGATACTGTCGAGGAAGGATCATCGCAACGTCCCCAAATCGCCCAGGGGTCAACTGCTAGTTCTGGCCGCGTGGATTCAGCAGCTGAATCTCACACTTCGGACCGTGATTCTCCTCTTGTAGAATCAGAAACACATTCGGGAGAGCATCAACGTCTCATGTCTGAGGAGGAACAGAAGCGCAAGGAGAGACGTAATCTTGTTAATTTCAGACACCGAGATCTGACTCGAAGACACCGCGTCTTGTTTGACAAACTTCGTGTCCGTCTTCCAGTACGACCCAGCTGCTATGTTACAAAGGAAAGAACTCTTGACATGGCGCTAGACTATATCAACTACCTGGAATCACTCCTAGGCATCAACCAGCCAACACAACAACAAATAGCAGCTCTCGCTCCTCCCCCAGGCAGGAGAATGGACAATGGACCAAGGCCCCTATCTACTAGTGGCATACCACAGACAGAACCCAAGCATGAGGAAACCGTGGAATCTAGGCCACTTTGCAGTATGATACCTGGGGCACAAAGACACGGGACTGGAGAATTCAACCAGGGCTTCATTGATATGTCCCGACAGAGAGGTCACAGCGAGGTGGCTCCCAGACGACAACTATTCAATGATAGCGATCAATGGAGTATGGGGCGTCCTCAAAGCACTTCAACCCCTGTCAGCCAGGCAGTATTCCCTGGCCAATCATCTATGTCACCATTAGCTACAGCAATCGACAATATCATCACGAGACTAGAGTCAGGATCATCTGGTTACCGCAGCAACAGCCATGGCAGTGTGGACAGTCGCCGCCTCGACTCTCAATCATCCCTTCCATCTACATGTGATGACGATGACGTGTTTGAGTACAGACCTAATCACATGGTATGGCCAGAGAGGAGTGTGGGAAGCAACCAAGTTGAGGGTTTCGCCAGTTATCCACCCAGGCATCACTCCAGCTTATAAGGTAATTACTATCTCACTCATATTGAGGAGCTATCTAAAAAAGCCCAAACACTAGAACTGTACTTGTACAGAAAACTTTTTTTATAACATTTTTCAAAATTCCTGTTGCAAAATTTGATTGATAATTTCAACGGTTATTTTGAAAGTCTTCGAAAAATGAATTCACAAAATAGGAGCTCCATTGATTGAAATTGGCGATAGGTCTTATATAAAGTTTTAAATATGGGGCATGGCTTATCCTGGACATAAAGGATGTCAACGATTTCATGAATGCTTTTTAGAAGAAGTTTGGAATATCTCCCTGTAGACATTTATTATATTACAAAAATATTTTTTTCTTCTTTTTCACAACGTATTTTTACTATACAGGACGTTTCGGATCCTGTCTGGATCCTTTTTCAACTGTATAAAAATTCTTAAAATTGTTTAAGAATTCATTGTATTATTTTACTCTTATTGTATAATTTATAAAAATTGATGCAATGTCACGGAATAGGAAGATTTGATTTGATTGCTAGAATTATTTTGTTTACACTATTTAGAAAGAAGCTATTGAATCTTGTTATTATAATTTTATTCATAGTTCAAATCAAATTCAGATGAATGCTATATCACAGTTTTTATTTCCTAATAATGTGTTATTACAGCTATGTAATAGTATTCAATATATACTTCTAGGGACCATGAGTTTATGCCGTGGCATGCTGCTCCCTCATTCCGAGGCCTTTGGTCAATGCCGACGGGAAACGTCACAATACAAGCTGCAAGGCATCACCATAACAACAAAGTGCCAGCAACAACAAAGTGTATATATTGGAACACTGACCTTTCGTTATATTGTATATATTGGAACACCATCACTGTCAAACCTCTTGTAATATAAGATAATTGGACCTCTCATAATAATGTACATATTTGAACAAAGGAGTTCTTGTGATAATGTACATATTGGAACAAAGGAGTTCTTGTGATAATGTACATATTGGAACACTGGAACTTGCGTGATAATGTACATATTGGAACACTGGCCATCTTGTGATATTGTACATATTGGAACACTGGACCTGTCGTGATATTGTATATATTGGAACACTGGACATTTCATGATACTGTACAAATTGGAACTCTGGCCATCTTGTGATAATGGAACACTGGACATCTTGTGATATTGTATATATTGGACCACTCTTGTGATAACATATAGATATTGATAAACTGGCTGCTTAAGTGCACTTGTAAATATTGTAATTAATGAACATATGTCTCAGTCAACTTAGTGATATAACTTGATCTTGCCAAAATGATTAACAATCAGCTAATGCATCTATTAGTATCCTTTGAACAATCTATTATAATTAGTGTCAGAATATCTAAATATATTCATTCTTTAGCCACTTTATTACTCTATTTATCAATCGAAATTGATGGTAATTTTTTTTTTTTTTTTTAGTTACATACTTTATTGTCAAACTATGATACATAAATTATACATCAACTGACACTTTAACAAGTGTATGAAGTTGTTTTTGTGACAAAAATGAAAATTTAATAATAACTATACATATTGATAGCATATGTATGCATCTAACTTATGGCTAGTGGTGGTGGGTTGTGGCTGCCAATGTGTGTTAACTCTATTTCAGTTTAGGAAAAAAATGTATGGATGGAAAGGTAGATGAGGTGACAATATATAATTATATTTCAGCAATTAAGTTTTTCTTTCTAGTCATTTTAAATTGAAGTAAAGAAGGCAAAAATCTGACATGATCTGAGATAGAATTCCAGATTCTTGGACCCTGTACTTTGATTGAATATAACCCTATTTTTGTTTTGTAAGCCCTAGCATGTAAATCATGACTTCTTCTGGTAGGATAATTGTGAAAATATTCATTTTGATAATTTAACAGAGACTTTAATATTACACAATCAAAGTGAGTTGTATAATAGTTCTACAACAGTATAATAATAATAATAATAGTTTTCATTTAAATAGCTCCAACTTTCTCAAGGATTGTAACATAATATAGTATTTATAAACTGCTCAGTGAGCATCGGTGAAACCTCTTGGTGTTACTCTTGGCACTCTTGCACAAATTTTATTGTACATATAGTTTATTTTACTTAATAAACTTGTATAAATAAACTGATTTGTTTATTATTATAATCTAAAACTATGGCATTGAGATGCGGTGGTTGAGTGGGGAGAGGGGGTATCTTAGCATTGTACACCATACAGTGACACCTGTATATTTGAACACCTCTCAATGTGAACAATTTTTCTTGGTCCCGAAGTTATTAACTCCCATTGACTTAAATGGTTACATTAAACACTTTTGGCCAGTCTCAAAGACATTAAGATTAGAGAAGTTTTATCGAATTACATTTCAAGTAACTATTCTTTCAGACCCCTTATCATTCATTATACTAACTAAAGTATGTTGCACATTTTCTCAGATTGTTTTAAGTGAGTCTATCTGTACATGCAAAACTTATCCAGAATGACTAATTTTCAATATGGCAATGAATGATAGCGAGTGTATCAAGGACTTTAGATCATATTCAGGCCACGCAAAATCATACTGTGTTCAATAAGTTATGATATGAAAGCTGAAAAATGAGTGAAAATGTAAGTGATTAATAAATACCCCTTTCCATATGACAAACAGACAGGCTCTTGTTGTTATAAACAAGGAAGGCATAACTAACCTCATCATACATGAACTGTAATGTTAATGCTGACTTTCCAACTCCTCCACTTCCAACCATGATCACTTTATGGATCACTGTCGGTGCTGCTGTTCTTGGTTTAGACATGGCTCTATGAAGACGCTTTTTACGTTTAAAAACTGGAATGCAAGTAAAACACTGTTTAATATTATCCATTTCCTGGTTCGTTTATGAGGAGCTATCACAATAATTGTGAATGCCTCAGATTTTTGTTATCTTTTTTATATGAAATCGTTAAAAGGGAGTTACACACATTTTTTTAGTGACATGAGTCATCCTGACTTTGTGAGTCAAAGTGGAATGTTTATTGTCATGAATGGACTTCTGACAAGGATATGAATTTCACTGAAGCCACTCAATGTTTTGAGAAATGAAAAATTCAAAGCTTGATGTTTGCAGATTTAAATGACAGTGAGACTCTTGTATTTTCTGACACATAACATCTGGTTTGCTAATTTCCAACTTTTCTGATGCCAAAAAATATTTTTATTTTCTGTGATTTGAAAGTGATAATTTAGTCCAGTTATAAAGACATCCAGCCAATGGATGAACTTGGTGCATTACATATATTTGAAGATTAATACTTACAATGGTATGGACACAGTGTAAAATCCCTCTCCTCTGTCGAAAGAGAGGAAAATCACCTAAAGTTGATCCGGCTTTTTATTCCTACTTTTCAATGTAAAATGGCGGAAGCAAGTGCACACTGGGATATGTCACCTTGACCTCAGTTCATTTTTGCAATTAAACTCTCCTACAAACAAAACGAAACATATGATTAACATGTATTCTATATAATGGATGTGGTATTTGTCCATACTACTAGTATAAAGTAAATATAAATGAGAATAACGTTGGATTTCGGATATTTCTAAGGTCACCAAAAGATGGCATTGGTTCACAAAGAAAAGATGGCTGCCAATTCTGGAGGAGGAACGTCGCAGGTCCAATATTCAACACACCATAGAAAAGGTAGTACTGAAGAGCCATATTATATCTAACGTGCAAACGGTTGAGAATTAAATGTAGATTATACAGGATTGGTATTGCAAGGATTGATTGAGTGGATAGAGTGATAAAGTAGTCTAATAAATTAATTTGTGAATCAAATTTATTTTTCAGTAAATTGTTTGAGAAAATTGTTTTGTTGATTTTTCATATCTGGCCTACTCACTAATTATCTATTTCTTATCCAATACATTAGCCCACAGGTCTGGACCCAGATCAAGCCCCTTTTGGTATTGGCTGAAAGAATAAATGAGAAGATAAGACACCAACCAAAAATGATACATCGGAAAAATGACCACCCAAAAATATGACGCTTGCAACTGACCTTTATCTTTTCCATCTCTCAAACATTGAGTGATCAATATTTACCCTGTTATCTCTTCTTTATGTATTAGTTTGAATGGTTGCATGATATCAATTATTGACGCTGTAAATCAAATTTTCCCGGGACATTTATTTCAAATTTTCAGAGCGTAAAGATAATGGAGTGCTTCGGTAATTTACGGCAGTGTCCGATGTTGTTCGTCTCTTGAATTACGTCACATCGCAACAAACAGCCAATGATAAAGGATCGCGTAGCCTAACAAACCGTTGTTATTGTTTCACCAGGAGTTTAAAGAAACGTCATGGGATTTCTCGGTAATCTCTGATCTGACATCATCCGGAGTGGGGTCACATTTTTAGAAAAGGCATTTGACTTCGGGAATAAACATTTGAACAACGGAAATAGGCAAAGCACTCCATTAAATATACGCTTGCTTATTTTATGCTTTTATCAACAGACGCTTTCTTGAATGTGCGGTTTTAGTGATTGGAGATGAAGCTAACAACAGTACGCATCGTTTGAGATATGACATATGATATTTATTGATAAACTGTCTCCAAAATCAAGGAAATATAAATTTTCCGAAGACTTTGTGTCTTGTCCTTGAGTATATTTATTGAGCCTAGACACTACCAAGAAGAGGTAATCTGGCAGAGGTCTGTGAATTAGCCTTCCATCTTTTTGATCTATAGCAGTGCTTCAGAGACATCACGTTGTAAAAAAACACACAAGTTTTACATGCATGTCACAGGCCGTCCAACTGTCCCGCAATTTGCGTATTTACAGAATATGTCACGCAAGTACACATTTTTCTGATTATTGTCAAGCAAAAATATTTCGGGAGAACATAACTAAAACGAACACTGAAAAAACAAATGCGTACATGTCACACATTTGTTTCAAATTTTCTCGTTTCCCCTTAAACATCCTAGAACATATTGGGAATACAAATATACAAATGTGGTGTCCATATTATTTATTCTATATTCATTTATTCGTATACAGGGCTCTCACCAGGAAATATTTAGGGTGTGGTGCTAACATCTTCAGAATAACCGTTCAGTCGTGATAAATCATATTTATGTTATGTTTTATCCTTTTTACATGGTATTATTGTATATTCAGTCAAGTTTAGACTGTGGACACAGTCATGATTTGCCAATAGGGTGTGGAGGGAGCTAAATAGAGTGTGCTGTACTGCACCACAGTCTAAAAGCCTGGCGAGAGCCCTGGTATAGATTACTGTGTCTCAGACTGGTATCTACAATCACAATCATCATATTTTTCATATGTTGTTACAGTCTATATATATTATAAATAAATAAATAAGAAATGTTTTTTTAAAATAAATAGAGTGTTCCTTCCGAAACTTATTCTGACTCTTATCTCAATTACAGAATGCACAAATGAAGCAAACATTTTGCTAATATAGGCAAAATATCTCTAAAATATCAAAATGATTTGACCTGTTAAATCTTCATGGTTCCGCCATCTGCTTTTCGGAACTTTTTTCATTCCATGAAAGTTATGTAAAACTCAAATTTCCATGGAACGAAAAAAAGAACAAGAAAAAAGGTATACGTACACATGCAGGATATTCACACATGAGAAATTTAAGCACAATTGACGGAGAATGCCCCTACTTCGGTAATCAAAATGTATCATTCACACTCTTGTATGAAGCTGTATACAAGGAAATTATTGGTGAATATATTCTACTGGAGATATTTCTAGACATTTTATAAGATTATGGAAATTCAAATCACTGATGTCTAGGAGTATTGACAAAAAGTTAACTTTTCTTTTCTGTCACCAGTATATCTCAGTTCATTTGCTGTAATCTCAATTATTATTAGCTTTAGGTACCAATCGTCCGAACAGCAAGTGTGCAATATACACTGTTAGATGAAGAATGATTATACAAATATTTATTCCATTTTCAGAAGATATGTTATATTATGTATTTTGAAGTTCATTGTATGCATTCTCGCGGGACTATTATTGAATAGAAACAAATGTTGCTGAATATGTACTCAAATATAATACTGTTGCTATACTGTGTTTGTAGGGTTGAATATGGACCAGAAATACTCAGAATTGATGGAGAGGGTGCGGAACCGCACGTCACAGCTCAAGTCGTGGTCTGATACATCAAAGAACATCAAAATGTCTTTAACAGTAAGTTTACAATTTTGGAATTTATCATGAAATCTTGTGATTATTTTTGCCATTATGACATTGTTAAATCTTATTAGTTCAAGTATCTCTAAAATTGACTCAATTATTAAGTTAACATTGATCGGATTTCAAGATACATGTACTGTACTGCTATTTGATGCCTGAAGGCCAATTCTGAACTTCACATATACATGACAAATCATGTGAGCAATGTTATATATTATTAGTGAGGATTGGCTCTCGGGATCGGAACTCAATATTTTCCAACAATAAAAACGTTGAAATGTCATTATTTTATGAAATTATAAAATTCAAAATAAACGGTCCAAAAGATTGAAACCAATGTCTGGATCATTTCTTGTGAGTTTTGGAATTTTTTGTTTGGAAATAAGATTCAAATGTTGAAGTGAACAAAATGGCAGCTGTTCGAATTTTGTAATCACAACATGCCCATAAATGGCAAAAATATCGATGTTGCACTCTGCCAGTCCTCCTTGGAATTTTTTTAATGTAAATGAATGTATTTTAAAAACTTGACATTGTGGCATGCAACAGATGATTTATGGAGTCATTGGTTTAAAAAGCCTGATACTCTATGTTCTAATTGTAGGATAAACGTCATCAGTCAGATTTGCAAGACAGGCTACACTTACAGAGATGTCTAGGTAGATTACAGAAAGCTGTCAGAAGTATGTAAATCATAATATAGTAGAGTAGGTTAAAAGTGGCAGCAATGAATAGATTGTAAAAGTTGTCCTTTCAATGATGATGCTGATGTTTTCCTCTCTATATACTCCAGTTTTACTGTCTGAAAAAAGAATTGAAATTTAATTTTAGTTTATTCATTTCTCAAAAAGTATGTGAAAAGACAAATTCCTGTTTCTTTCATTTTGAGAATAGAATACATGTGTTTTTACAATGACAGACACATTCACATTACTGTACTTATTGATATTTACAGCCTGTGGTCTGCAGTCAGTAATGGAAAAACTGGAGTGTCTTGCCAAGCAAACAGGACTGAAGTTCAACCAGAATAACCTGGATTGTTTCTTCAGTCAGGAGGGATTCTATGTGCAAGTGTCAGTCAGTCAGAATGGAGAGGTTCGGGAAGTCACTATTGCTCATGGACAGTCCAGTCCAGTGGGTATGGTAAGTGTTTTATATTGATTGTTTTTGATATTGGACTTGAAATCGCTTGGCAACTTTTAGGTGTCCTGTTATATGTTTAACTTCAAGAAGATGATATCATATTAGAATCAAAATTCTTATAAAGTACTCCAATTCTTCCAGGGTCAAAAAGAGTGACAGAGACCCTGACCTAGTTAGTTTCGATATACTTATGAAAGTCCATCCTCACCTCACTATATATTGTTATTTGCAGAGTTGTCCAGAGTTACAAAAGATTCTAAATGATCACGACTATGAGGAGTTCTCTAGCCACCTACATGGTATAGCTGAGATGCATCAAGTAGGAACAGACAAGTAAGACCAATGATATTCCCATCATTTTTGCTTAATTTGGTGCAAGAAATATCCACACATGTTCAAAATGTCAGACGCATGGTTTTCAAATTTTCTTCGTGGTGCAAGTGATAAATTCAATTTATTTGTGATATTTTTAATTCTCTCATTCTTTCATGAAGAAGCTATAAATCCATGTTCAAAAATGTAAGAAGACTTTCTTCGATGAATTAATCAGATCAATGAATCAAAGGTGTGGTTTCCTTCATAGAAGAACAGTATTTTCCTTTAGATAATTGAAAACTCCCATTAAATCTCAAACTGTTAATATATTATCTGGGATTTTAAATTTTTCATATGTTATTATAGTCTATTAAATATATTTCTGCTAAATTTCTGCAAACCAGTATACTCCTGATGTATTATTTAAGAATAGTATTGAAATGCAAACTAGGAATAATGAATATATTCTGTCTTTTAGGAAGTCTAAAGGTGGCAACTTAAAGTCTTATATTTCTCTGCAGTCATTGGAAATTGACCTGAAGAATCTAGCTCAGCTACAGAGGTAACTTTCAAAATAATGATCGCATAATATATCTTTTGAAAGTTATTTTCTACAATTCAAATTCTTTCAATTTTAATGTCATGTCCTTCATAATAATCTGGTCATGAGTTTAATAGTAGTCTTACTTTGCAAGAGTTTTCAGATATCCTTTAGTACTTTTTCTTCTCATAATTCAAATGCATTCCATTTTTAATGTATTACTGAGAAATATCTAAAATAGACAAATATTGAATTTTGTATTTCAAGATGCATATTTTCAATATAATTATTGTAAATTCACTCAACTATCATCTATTGTATGATACAATTCATTCATGCATGTTATATGGCTAGAATGAAAGAGTATTCAATTATGTTTATTTTCCAGTGGTATAAGTAATGTAACCAACTACATTCACAAGACTCCCCTTGGCATCCTCACCCCCAGGGTAGGGGGTAGAGCCTTGAAGTTGACATATTTTGTTACCCCCTACCATCTCCTGGATCCTAAAACTAAGTCAATCTACAATATGTCAATAGAAGGTTAGTTATACTGTACAACATAAAACGTTTAAGATTTGTTTTAGAACACTGTTAGACAAGTGGATGATATGTCCACTTCGGCTTGTTTTTCCTGTGAAATGCCTATTGTATGAAATTAAATAGATATGAATTTATGAATGAAATAGCTTCAAACAATAAACTTTACATGTACAATAATTTACCTATTGAAAGGTGAATTTTGCAAATTGTATCCATGTAACGGCACAACCAATGATCCAGGGTCTAAACCCCAGTTAGTCCTTATGGGTCAGTTGAATTCTTAACAGGAATTAGAAGAATATCCCGGCAACTGATTAAATCATGATTAAACCAGCAGTGAAATAATAGTGTATCCAGACTTAGTTTTCTACCAGTGCATTTTTTCTAGTGTCTTACATTATGTCTCAACAAAAGGAAATTAGACATGCATGATTGAAACTTGATAAGAGATAATTGAGTCTACATCATTGACAGAGATTAACAATGATGTTAACAGATAACACCAATGAATTGCTAGTTTCTATTTGCAGAAATAACTGAGCACAAGTTGGGTCGCTATGTTACTGTACATATCGAGGCTTCCACACCTCATAAGCTTCAAACCATTCCTCTATGTTCAATAACAAAGAACACAGATGGAAAAAGGTAATATCTTTAATCATCTTTCATTCTGTTGGTTGTTCCTCAAAATATGAGTCAACAATACTTTTTTGAATATTAAGTAAATTGAATATGAGGTTGAAAAGAAGTATTGGAATCTTAGATCGCAATGTTTTGAGAAATAGCTCTCTGAATGTTAAGATTCAAAGTTACGTGTGAGTTCATTTGACATAAGATCTATAGACAATCTCACATAATGTTAGTGAATTGAGGGTCAATTTTGGGTATTTTTAGATTGATTTTTACATGTGTAATATTGTCATCTTTCATATCTGCTTTATAAGTAGTTGAAAAGAGTACATGTCATTAATATATGCTAATAGCCTAATTCTTTGTTCTGTTTCAGTTTGCCGTCATTTGCCCAAATCAACCAAGTGAACAGTATCAGTATGCCTTCTGTGTTTGTATTGAAACTAGACAAGCCAATACCAGTTGCTCTTCAACTCATAAGAAAGATTCAGCAAAGCACAGGTAAGGAGATGTGTCATGATATTGACAATAATGGGAAAGTATAATTATTAAACTGAACTTCTTTGTTGAACTTATTGTTGTTTATTTGTCTGCATAGATTTTGACAGTTCTAGGAAAGTGTCCTTAATGTGTTGCCATTGTTTGACTAATTATTGCCGTTTATTTGTAGGCATAGATATTGGTATGTCCCAAGGTAAAAGTGGATCCCTTGTCTCTCTCATTTGGGAAGAGGCTACCAACAAGCCATGGAAGGACCAAGCTGAAGAAGGAACATTTGTGGTAAGCTATAAGCTTTCTCATCCCCGTTTCACTCTGTCATTAGTGTCTGAAAACAGAAAGTTTAGAATTCAAAAGTCTATTGTTCTCTTTCTATGATATCATTAATTGTATGGTTAAAACAATTGGTTTAGGAATTCTTAATGAAGTTTCTGGTAATGACCCCCAGAGTCATATCGAAAATGTATGATCATCTGACATCTATCAAGATAGTGACATCAGAATCACGCTTAGAAAATATTGACCAATGAGGGAATGCTCCATTTCAACAATTTAAGACTTCATTTCTTTTTTCAACAGTTGATAAGTTGAGCATTCGGGTAAAAGAATCAGAGAATATATGGAAGGAATATATAAAATCGACCACATTTTTTCATTTATTTTGTGAATACATAACAATGTAGATACCATCTCTAGCACACTTAATCAGGGATGTTGTTTTATTCAGAAATTGCCTGATCAGCTCCACAGCTACTATCTCAACACAGGATCTCAAGGCTCTGATGAATTGACAGGGATATGTATCTCAAAGATTCCTTTTGTACACCCCACAAATGTGCCTCAGATTCTGCTTCATCTGCGTCAGCAGTTGTTGTTTAATACACTCATTGGCAGCTGTATCAGATGTGGGGTTAAAGGAGGTATGTGTAAGACCATATTGCATATGTTTTACAGAATACAGTGATCTCCCCTGCATAAGAGCAACCGGATGCAGCATCTGGTTGACAAAATATAAATTACATTCCCCTGCATGTCTCTGCATGATGCCAAACTGTGAAATATTGAAAACAGATAGAATGAGGATTAAGCATATACCCAGTCGAGAAAATATTCCGGGGAGATCACTGAAATACATTATAATGAGTGAATGTAACAAAATAAAATATTGCATGCTGTCATCTTTTTGTCAGCCAAATACAAAATTATGCTAAACAGAGAATATCATAATTCTTGCCTAATTCCAATGTTTTTATATTTTAGACAGCAGAAATGCTATAGTTTTTGAAGTCAACCCGATTTCTCTACAGCACATAAGCGTAATGTTTGAGCATCCTTTACAGGACTCTATGGCATCTGGTATGTATGATGGGTTGAACCTTGTCAAATACATTATGTCAATGTTCCATATATAGTCGCCTTGTGTATAGTAAATGACTGCAAAGATGGAAAATAAATTCACTGGAGATAATTAAATGATTTTCCATTTGAAAAGGGGACTGTTTTTACAGTCCTAACTCTCCTAATATTGCCAATTTCTTTGGTAAAACCATTCCTTATTAATCAAAATATTGATCACAAGTCTTTTCGACCAATCTTACCCAAAAATCATCAAATGTTAGAAAAAAACTTATTATTTTCAGTTTTCTTATGATTTAGAATATTGATCAACTAAAAACTATTGTTAAATAAACTTATTTATTTCCTTAAAATTCACATCCATCTGTTTGAATCCTTTCAATTCAAGTCATTTTTGTTATTTTGTTTCAGTTGAGTTTGACTTGAGTGAGCTGGCTGCTATTAAAGGGAAGCTCTACACTTTGGATGAGGCATCTGAGATCTGCCCAGAGGACTTCCCATCGAAGCTCGTACAAAGGTACTACTTGACTCTAGCTATGGCTTAAAATGTTTTCATGAAAAAAATATTGTACTCATGCAAAAATATCACGAAGTCATCTTGTAACATATAAGTTGGCATGAATGATTTTTTCAAGCTTCACTTATGACAGAAAAGACGGTTTATAACTAAATCCAATCATTATGTAAGTTATATATCATCACAAAATATTGAAGGTTATTTATGAATTTCCCCTTTAACTAATAGCATAATTAACTTATATTTTTTCTAATTTCAGGAGTTTGTCTATTCCAATCACATTGCGTGCAATCATGCTGAAAGCCACTGAACAACTGACTGTGCCATCGGTGGGATTAACAATTACAGCGAAGAAGCTGATAAGTAAACACGAATCAATGGACATAGACCACTCTCTAATATCGCCAAATCCTTATCAGAATACAGCTCATCGTCCCACTGGTTATTCTGGACGTACTGTTTCATTGGTTGACCACCATCTGCCTGGCGGAGAGCTACCAGTACAGCATCCACATCCTGTAGACCCGCATTCTGTTGATAAAGTATCACGTAACCCAATGTTGGCCAGTTTGTTGGATACAGCTGCAGACAGTCCGGAGAATACTGGGAATCCTCCTGGAGGACATCAGTCCATGTTGTCTGTGTTGCTAGGTGATCAACCAGGGTCACTACCGAACCCTATGGCAGCGCCACCTATGAAACCAAGAAAACCGAGACGTCCTCGGAGTCGTAGCAGCACAGAGAAATCTCCTTTGAGTAGCCCCGTTGCAAAACGACCACGAAAGATGAGCCAAGAAGAATTCAACAAGGAGCTAATGCAGATGGATGTGGAGCCCAGCAGTAGTACGTATGAAATGGGGCTCCCCTTACAAGCTGGTGGAGGTGATTCAGACACCAGCATATCACATGTATCAAAGCTAGCCTCCTCATTGGATAATATAATCAAACAGGAGACTAAACCAGGCCTGACGACCCCTTCACCACAACATAGTATGGACATGGCTAGCTTGCTCACAGATAATGACATCAAGAAGGAACGAAGTAGCCCAGGAGATAGTCCACATAACATGGCCAACAAACAACGACCTAGCAATTCTAGCCTGGATGACATCATAGGTAACATTGGTGAAATGCATGCTGATTCGGATATATTTACTGGCAAAGATGGCCACTTTACACCTACAGATTTCATGAGTTCATCTCAAAGAAGTGATCGCAGCACTCCAAACACCAGTGCCGACAATGCATTCAAAAATGAGTCAAATGACCCATTGGATTTTAACACAGAACTGCTCAATCCTGACCCTACTTTTGGTGATACCTTAAACCCTCCTAATGAGGAGAGCATGGATATGGCAGCCTGTGACGCCAGTGCATTTGGCACCAGTAATGCCGTAGCAATGCTGGCATCGAAACTCGTTGAGAAAAAACCCGACGTAAACAAAGCTAAGACCACAATGCCCTCTAGTGGTAGTAGCAGTGGCAGCCATCAAAAACACGAAATCAAAAAAGAGAAAAAATATAAATCTAAACATGGTGAGGAGAAAAGACTGTATAAACATAAATCTGTATCTTCTATGAAAACTAGCAGTGGTAGGACAGATTCTCCTCAACATGTTCTGGATTTAAGTCATAAAGGGTCAGGTGACAAAAATGCCCAAAGATCTCTTAGTGTCAATGATAAAGAATCTGTGTATAATTTTGAGTCTGAATCTAGTTCACAATTCAGGCCTAGTAAATCGGATAAAAGTGAGAAAAAGAGGAAAAGCTCCAAATATGATGAAAGTGGTGATAAAAAACGTAAACGTGATGAGTATCGAAAAGAAAAGGACAAAAAAAGGAAATATGATGAATCTAAATCTTCATCATCTTCATCTGAAAAGCACGGATATAAAACAAAAATTAAAATTGTGACACATGGGCCCGATCAGTTTAAAATTGCTACCACACCTACCACCCCCACACCACCAGATATTAAATCCCCGGTCTTGTCTAGCCAGTCTAAACCCTCAGATAGTAAATCTCATAGTTCTTCCTCATCTCTAAAATCAGGGAGTGTTAAATCTAGCTCTCCTAGTTTAAAGTCGTCATCAACATCATCATCGCCTTCCATAAATAAGCCTCAAAGTTCAAAAACATCTTCTATGAAATCTTCCTCTGGTGTAAAATTACCATACAGTAATGTAAAAGGTTCCTCATCTCCAAGCTTAAAGTCTTCATCAAGCCCCAATGTTAAACCATCCTCAAGTTCATCATCATCCGGTGCCAGGTCCAGTTCATCTTCGAGTTTAAAGTCTTCTTCCTCAAGTTCAAAAAGTTCAGTGTCTCCTTTAGTGAAAGTGCCATCATCTAGCTCTACTTCAAAGTCTTCTTCATCAATATCTGGGAGTGCCATTCCCAAACACCCTCCATCCACAAAATATTCTCATCTCTCACAGGGTCTGAAGAAACCTAGTTCCTCCATTGCAAAGTCATCTTCACCAAGTTTAAAAACTTCAGGATCTTTATCTAAGCCAATCAGTAGTAGTAAACCATCTAGCCATAGCTCTAGTTCATCTGGGAGTAGTGTTAAATCAAGCAGGCCACCAGGCCATGGCAGTTCAAGTAACCCTGGAATAGCTAAACCCAGGCCTAGCAGTACCAGTAGCGCCCCTAAGCAACCAGGAGTCCAGACCTCACCTGCCTCATCAGGAACTGGGTCAGAAAGTAGCTCTAAATCATCAGCCAGGCCATCAAATAGGCCAATCACTGTGAGAAAAGAGGATTCTAAAATGATGACAAAAACTCCAACTTTGAAACTAAAACCAATCACTGTACCTCCAAAAACTGGTGCCCAGAGCTTGTATAATGTCCAACCATCCAAAGGCCCCACTACACCAGTGTCTGCCCCTCCAGTTCCGCATAGAACCCCACCATCTGCTACCCCACCAACTCCAACTACTCCTACACCCAACTCTGGTGTGTCAGGCTTAGGTAAGGCCACCAAATCTAGAAAGGGCTCCCTCTCTGCTGTCATAGACAGATTAGCAACCAAACAACAATCAAAATCTCATGAGCCCCAACAGCAAATTACAGAATTCAAAGTTCTTGAGAGAAAACCGGAGATTGTTTCCTTTGAGAGCAAACCTACCAGTAATACTCCCAGTAAAGAAAAGAGATCTAGTGAATCTATAGCTAAAGAGAAATCAGTGATGAAATTAGATCTGTCAAAAACCAAACAGTCAAAGCCAAGTACAGGTGTTAGTACACCCACTAAAGACTCATCCAAATCTGCTACCTCTAATACCAAAGTAACTACCCCAAATTCAAAAGTTTCTACCCCTAATTCTAAAGTATCCACCCCTAATTCAAAGGTTCCAAGTTCTATTTCAAAAAGTTCAACACCAAACACCAAAGTCTCGACCCCAACTCGACCTGAAAAGAGTATCCTGAAAACTCCTGATGTTAAAAAGCCTGAAAATATTATTCCTACATTGCCTCGAAAAACTGAAAGTGCTAATAATGCTACAATGCCCAGAAAACCTGAAAATGTTAACACTCCTGCAATGCCAAGAAAATCTGAGAGTGTAAATGTTCCCATGATGCCTGCGAAGAGCTTAGTCTTGAATGAAGAAACTGGTCAAATGGAACCCATAAAAGATACCCCCAAAGTCCCAATTGATCCATCTAAACAAGTGATAGGCACAGATAGTGATGATAAATCAAAGCTTGATGCCAGGATTTCAGGTGAGAGAAAGGGTTTGTTTCAGACCCTTCAAGAAATGGAGAAGAGAAAATCGCAATCACCTCTTCATACCCAAGGGAAAGCAAATCCAGACACAAATAGTAAACCAACAGAAAATCTCAGACCAAAATCTGAAGCAACTCCAAAACTCTCAGTTAATGTTAATAACAAGGGACCTGTTGAGATTGATTTGATTAGTCCTGATGATTCAAATGGTAATGATATTCCAGCACTTGTACCACAGTTCAGTGATTCTTTCCCACCATCTGGTAATGTTAACCCTAAAGATGAACGACCACCACTTTCTCCAATTGAACAGAGGATTGAGCCAATTAGTCCTCCTATAATTGAACCAAAACAAAGGAGACTTGTCCCTCTGAGTCCCAACAGTGAAGGCAGTCCAGGCCTTGTTATTGATTTTCCTAATACGCCTAAATCAAATACGATATCACCCTTGGTGAAACGTACTGTTACACCTCAACCAAAAACAATCTCCCCGACGCCAAATAACACAGAACAGGTGCAATCTGAAGGAGTGTCGGGAGCCCCTGCAAGGACAGCCTCACCCAGTGTGTCGAATACAATAGTTGGGGTGGGTGTTAGTGTATCTCCCGCTAGGGCTAAAGACCTTGTTAAGACTCATACCCCATCTCCCCATTCCTCACCCCTCATGCTTGATGATGAACTTATGGATGCAGCGATTACTGGTGGATTTGGTAGCAATTCATGAAACATCTGGCATCTCTCAATTGGGCTCAATCAATTTAATCATTCTCAATGTGTTGAATATTTTATATAAGTCAATGTTAGAAACAAATCATGTAAAACAGAGTTGCTCTTTGCATTCTGATAACAAATTGTAGTAACTCAAGAATGGTCCAGGAGATATGTCAAACTTTTCAAAAGAACAACGCTTCATTTGAAGTATCTAATTCACTTTTATACTCATCTGCCTACCTCTCTAAGTTAATTCTGGTTACAGGCTCCAGTACTAAATGTATAACGAACCTCTGGTCATCACCTATGCTATTTGTGTAATTACATTACTGTACATACTGTCATACTTTCATAGAAATCACACTTTTTTACCAAAATATCAATAAGAATGGATGTGAGAATAGTGAGTTAAAATGTGTATACCTATCCATATTTTTTTTATTAGGAATATGTATTGGTAATGCGTCTTGTATTTAATGAGTTTAAGAAGTAAAATGCTATGTAAGGGTATGCAAATGACATCTTAATTATAAAACAAAAACCATGGTGGCTAGTATTGCATTTACATAACTGTTATTTTCAGGGCAATAAATGATACCATGGCAACAAATTGTATAATTGTGTAATGATTTAGCTTCTGCAATGGGGATGTTGCTAATGGGGAAGTGACAATGAGGGGAAATTATAAATTTCTAGCATAAACAACAATGATAGTGACAAGATAAAACAATCTAAACCACTAGAGAATAACTAAGTAAAATCACACATTTACAATAAGCAAAATTGATAAAAAATGTGTAAATTCAACAATTTCATGCATCATCATGTGGCATTGTTTATCACAGACAATTGTGTTCGACCACTTAATTTCTTATACGATCGAATAAAAATTGTTTAAAGTTAACATGAAGTTTTATGAATGATATTTTATTACTGACATAATTTGTCAGATAAAACATCATCCTCCGATCACAGGGCTTCAAAATCCAGAATATATTCTTTCTTTTCACCCCCTGCGATAAGCAGTTAGCATTTCCCCGATTAAGAACTCGCAATCTGATTGGCTGTCTCAACACTGCAAAAGAAATCATGTATAAGTCATTGCGCATAATTAGATCACATGATTCAGTTTAACTCTGCATAGGTATCCATAAATGAGCTATTTACGCTAATCTTAAACTCCCCAATGTCTAGAAATATGGTGGGATATAACATAGCATCCAATGAATGATGATTCAAAATTCTATCTTATCACTGTGCATGTACACATTTGGATAAATACTTAGATTAACTTATGATAACAATTATGACAAGCTTTAGCTTCTGTTCATTTAGCCTAATTGGTGCAGATTTTGAAATTATGAATTATTTACTGAATTGTAACTCTGTCATCTTTAACACAATGATAAGCTGTTTCTGGGTTTTATTCAAGCCTATAGGAATTTGGTTGGCAATTCATGGATGTAGCCATGTACCTAGCCTTGCCCAAGTCGGTCTCTAAAAATACCGACTTGGGCAAGGCTACCATGTACCTTGAATATGAAATTGAATTGACAGTATTGCAGTGCTTCACCTCAATTTTTGCCTCGCCTATTCAAATTGCCCATCTAATTTTAGATCCCAGCTATGGGCCTGCATTTATAGTATGGGAGTTGCAATATAAGAATGTGATCCTCTTAAACTAAAGATGTACCTCGATCAAAACAAATCCATCAGAATATTGATACTTAGGGTTTACTAATGGTAATGAGTTTTGACATGGATCATAGAATGGATTATTATTTACTCAAAAACTCATCAGGAACTGGGTCAGAAAGTAGCTCTAAATCATCAGCCAGGCCATCAAATAGGCCAATCACTGTGAGAAAAGAGGATTCTAAAATGATGACAAAAACTCCAACTTTGAAACTAAAACCAATCACTGTACCTCCAAAAACTGGTGCCCAGAGCTTGTATAATGTCCAACCATCCAAAGGCCCCACTACACCAGTGTCTGCCCCTCCAGTTCCGCATAGAACCCCACCATCTGCTACCCCACCAACTCCAACTACTCCTACACCCAACTCTGGTGTGTCAGGCTTAGGTAAGGCCACCAAATCTAGAAAGGGCTCCCTCTCTGCTGTCATAGACAGATTAGCAACCAAACAACAATCAAAATCTCATGAGCCCCAACAGCAAATTACAGAATTCAAAGTTCTTGAGAGAAAACCGGAGATTGTTTCCTTTGAGAGCAAACCTACCAGTAATACTCCCAGTAAAGAAAAGAGATCTAGTGAATCTATAGCTAAAGAGAAATCAGTGATGAAATTAGATCTGTCAAAAACCAAACAGTCAAAGCCAAGTACAGGTGTTAGTACACCCACTAAAGACTCATCCAAATCTGCTACCTCTAATACCAAAGTAACTACCCCAAATTCAAAAGTTTCTACCCCTAATTCTAAAGTATCCACCCCTAATTCAAAGGTTCCAAGTTCTATTTCAAAAAGTTCAACACCAAACACCAAAGTCTCGACCCCAACTCGACCTGAAAAGAGTATCCTGAAAACTCCTGATGTTAAAAAGCCTGAAAATATTATTCCTACATTGCCTCGAAAAACTGAAAGTGCTAATAATGCTACAATGCCAAGAAAACCTGAAAATGTTAACACTCCTGCAATGCCAAGAAAATCTGAGAGTGTAAATGTTCCCATGATGCCTGCGAAGAGCTTAGTCTTGAATGAAGAAACTGGTCAAATGGAACCCATAAAAGATACCCCCAAAGTCCCAATTGATCCATCTAAACAAGTGATAGGCACAGATAGTGATGATAAATCAAAGCTTGATGCCAGGATTTCAGGTGAGAGAAAGGGTTTGTTTCAGACCCTTCAAGAAATGGAGAAGAGAAAATCGCAATCACCTCTTCATACCCAAGGGAAAGCAAATCCAGACACAAATAGTAAACCAACAGAAAATCTCAGACCAAAATCTGAAGCAACTCCAAAACTCTCAGTTAATGTTAATAACAAGGGACCTGTTGAGATTGATTTGATTAGTCCTGATGATTCAAATGGTAATGATATTCCAGCACTTGTACCACAGTTCAGTGATTCTTTCCCACCATCTGGTAATGTTAACCCTAAAGATGAACGACCACCACTTTCTCCAATTGAACAGAGGATTGAGCCAATTAGTCCTCCTATAATTGAACCAAAACAAAGGAGACTTGTCCCTCTGAGTCCCAACAGTGAAGGCAGTCCAGGCCTTGTTATTGATTTTCCTAATACGCCTAAATCAAATACGATATCACCCTTGGTGAAACGTACTGTTACACCTCAACCAAAAACAATCTCCCCGACGCCAAATAACACAGAACAGGTGCAATCTGAAGGAGTGTCGGGAGCCCCTGCAAGGACAGCCTCACCCAGTGTGTCGAATACAATAGTTGGGGTGGGTGTTAGTGTATCTCCCGCTAGGGCTAAAGACCTTGTTAAGACTCATACCCCATCTCCCCATTCCTCACCCCTCATGCTTGATGATGAACTTATGGATGCAGCGATTACTGGTGGATTTGGTAGCAATTCATGAAACATCTGGCATCTCTCAATTGGGCTCAATCAATTTAATCATTCTCAATGTGTTGAATATTTTATATAAGTCAATGTTAGAAACAAATCATGTAAAACAGAGTTGCTCTTTGCATTCTGATAACAAATTGTAGTAACTCAAGAATGGTCCAGGAGATATGTCAAACTTTTCAAAAGAACAACGCTTCATTTGAAGTATCTAATTCACTTTTATACTCATCTGCCTACCTCTCTAAGTTAATTCTGGTTACAGGCTCCAGTACTAAATGTATAACGAACCTCTGGTCATCACCTATGCTATTTGTGTAATTACATTACTGTACATACTGTCATACTTTCATAGAAATCACACTTTTTTACCAAAATATCAATAAGAATGGATGTGAGAATAGTGAGTTAAAATGTGTATACCTATCCATATTTTTTTTATTAGGAATATGTATTGGTAATGCGTCTTGTATTTAATGAGTTTAAGAAGTAAAATGCTATGTAAGGGTATGCAAATGACATCTTAATTATAAAACAAAAACCATGGTGGCTAGTATTGCATTTACATAACTGTTATTTTCAGGGCAATAAATGATACCATGGCAACAAATTGTATAATTGTGTAATGATTTAGCTTCTGCAATGGGGATGTTGCTAATGGGGAAGTGACAATGAGGGGAAATTATAAATTTCTAGCATAAACAACAATGATAGTGACAAGATAAAACAATCTAAACCACTAGAGAATAACTAAGTAAAATCACACATTTACAATAAGCAAAATTGATAAAAAATGTGTAAATTCAACAATTTCATGCATCATCATGTGGCATTGTTTATCACAGACAATTGTGTTCGACCACTTAATTTCTTATACGATCGAATAAAAATTGTTTAAAGTTAACATGAAGTTTTATGAATGATATTTTATTACTGACATAATTTGTCAGATAAAACATCATCCTCCGATCACAGGGCTTCAAAATCCAGAATATATTCTTTCTTTTCACCCCCTGCGATAAGCAGTTAGCATTTCCCCGATTAAGAACTCGCAATCTGATTGGCTGTCTCAACACTGCAAAAGAAATCATGTATAAGTCATTGCGCATAATTAGATCACATGATTCAGTTTAACTCTGCATAGGTATCCATAAATGAGCTATTTACGCTAATCTTAAACTCCCCAATGTCTAGAAATATGGTGGGATATAACATAGCATCCAATGAATGATGATTCAAAATTCTATCTTATCACTGTGCATGTACACATTTGGATAAATACTTAGATTAACTTATGATAACAATTATGACAAGCTTTAGCTTCTGTTCATTTAGCCTAATTGGTGCAGATTTTGAAATTATGAATTATTTACTGAATTGTAACTCTGTCATCTTTAACACAATGATAAGCTGTTTCTGGGTTTTATTCAAGCCTATAGGAATTTGGTTGGCAATTCATGGATGTAGCCATGTACCTAGCCTTGCCCAAGTCGGTCTCTAAAAATACCGACTTGGGCAAGGCTACCATGTACCTTGAATATGAAATTGAATTGACAGTATTGCAGTGCTTCACCTCAATTTTTGCCTCGCCTATTCAAATTGCCCATCTAATTTTAGATCCCAGCTATGGGCCTGCATTTATAGTATGGGAGTTGCAATATAAGAATGTGATCCTCTTAAACTAAAGATGTACCTCGATCAAAACAAATCCATCAGAATATTGATACTTAGGGTTTACTAATGGTAATGAGTTTTGACATGGATCATAGAATGGATTATTATTTACTCAAAAATGAGGGTATGTATTTTCATTTTTATTCAACTTTAATTTACCATCATATATGGTATTTTGAAAATTTGTGCATGTAAAACTGTATTGCTGTAAAGAATATCATGCTAATCATGTGATACTTCTAGTATATGTGTAATATTTTATTTTATTGAAAATATTTGAGTTGTAAAATGCAATAAATGTTTATCTATGACATAATAATGTAACATCTGTTTGTTTGAGTGGTTCAAATGTAGGTCAGGGAACATCTCAAAGAGATGTAAGGGATATAGAGAGTGTAAGATGGTGGAATCAGTCTACAAAAATCATGCCATATGTTATTTTAGTTTCTGAAAAAAGAATTGAGTTATCTCATCAAAGATACAAGTTATTGAAAATTTGATATGCAGAAATGACTAAATTCATTGGAATTGAAAAACAAGACACACCTTATTGTCAGTTTTAGCAAGGCTGCATTTTCAAATGGTTATTCTGAAATGAAATCCATTAGAATGAAAGATCCCTCCATTTGGTCAATCACTACTAAAAATGATTTATCCCCACCATAAACCTAAAACTGCTTTTTGATTTCAGTCTAGGATAATTAGACATTCATAAGCACCAATCAAAAATATGTATCAAAATAGGAACCATATTACATTTGTTACAATAAACTAGCTACAATAAACATAATTTCTAAATTAGACGGGATTATTTTATGATATAAAGCTTAAAAACAAAGCATTTATTATAATTTGTCTAACACATGATTTTAGACTTTTCCCCAGGCTTATTATTAGCTGAAATAATAACATTGGATAGGACTATAATATAAGTGGTTTAAACTCTATATTGGTTTTGTGATGTAACAAGGTGTCTTTAGTGCTTGCTTCATGTTTTTTATCACACTTTTCAAAATATTATATCGTTGTCATCTCATACTGATGATTGTACGTCTGTCTAGTTGGGTGGTGCCACATAAATCTCAAAAGGCATTTTCTCCAGTTATTTTTATCAAAATTGGCCAACTATAATTTTGCATTGTTTTCATCCTTTTTGCCTGTTGTCAGTTATTCTACTGAAACCCATTACAGAAACGAAAAATGTTTTCCTAGAGTCCATTTCACTGTTTAACTGCGTCAGTAAAAGCTAAACAATAAGAAATCAAAATATCATTTTGCAATAATATATGGAAAAATATACTCCTATTGTACATGAATGACATTTGTGTATCTTGGATTGCTTCTAGTTTGGCTTATAAATTGTGTGGCCTCTTATATTTGGATGCTTCTCTGCCATGTTATTTTCAATAAGATTAACATGGCTGAAATTCTTCAAATTACAAGACGGCACAGGCTTATTGCACAAAAAACTAAAAAATCAGAAATATACAAATGTCATTCATGTACATTATGAATATACTTTTCCATATATTATTGCACAATGGTCTCCCAATTTCTTATTTTTGCCGTTCTACTGACGAAATGAAGCAGTGAAATGGACTCTAATTAAGCAGAAAAATGCACTGCCATAACAAAATAAAACGATTTTTTCATATGTTCTATGTATTTATTTCCTATACAGATGGCAAAACTATATACTAATATAGTACATGGTAAAACAACATGTAATATCTACGATAGAGGTATAATGAATGATATGCGAGAACCTTTAGGTTGAATATTAAATAAGATAAAACATTTCAAGCTGTCCAACATTTTTTCAAAGAGAACATTTATATGAAGTGATAAAAAGGGGCAAATATATCTATGAAGTGATGGAGAATGGGACAAATACTCGAATGACGTGATGAGGAAAGGGAAATATATTTCTAGGAAGTAATGAAGAATGGGACAAATACTCACATGAAGTGATAAGGAAAGGGAAAAATGTCTCTTGGAAGTGATGAAGAATGAACAAACATTTCTATAAAGTGATAAGAAAAGGGACAATGGGACAAAGTTCTCTGAAGTGATAAGGGACCAGAATATTGTGATGGCCATTTATAAAATGAGCCAAAGCCCGACATTCGGACTACCCATTAATAATAAGTGACCCGATTGCGGCGACAATAATAATATAAATAAAAGAAGTAAGCAAATATAGAAGCTTTGTGGCGCCTTAAAGTCCCCGATAAATCGGGCTACGTATACCGCCGTGTTTACATTAGGGGATTAGAAGAGTTTATTTTTATTTAGGTATGCAAGCTACGTATATCAATATTAGGCCTTCATTCATGTACTCGTGTGCATGTAATCAGCATGCCCTTCAATATTATGTAAACCAGGCTATTCAAGTACTGTATAATGTACACTATTTATGTGTGTACTACATACAATACAATTCCCTGGGAAACAAAACACAAATACTTTTTATATGTTCAAAATGAGCCATTTGATTGATGCAAACACTAAATAGCTTCATAAATAACATCTACAAAGTATATCTAATAGTAATTTTCAATTTCAATGGTGAAACTTCCCTGGTTACTATTATATGGGAAATCATCACGAGACGAAGATCGTTCGCCTTCCTGGCTTACCTCTGAATCGTGTACCCGGTAATCTCTTTATATAGTTTAGCGAGAGCGGTGCGCCTGCGCAGTTTTAAACGTTGGCGCACACTTTAAAAATCCAAACCTTAATAATTAAAACAATGTCAATATACACAAATAAAACTAAATACTAGCTTACAACATTAATGCAGTATATAAAATTATATTTACAACAATACAAGTCTAGCACTATGCTACACAAAGAATTTCCCATAAAATGGTATTCCGTAATTTATATACAGTTCATTATGGTACAATTTTACAGAATACTCTGCCCTAGTCAACTTCAAGCTCATACACATCTCATGATCTTTCCTGTTTATGTACTTGGATTTGGAATTTGTATGCATGTGTCCACTCCTTTTTATACCTTTTATACCTTCATTCCTTTTTGTTAACTTTATGGTATTTTTACATTGCCCTTTTATACAGTATTTTGGGTATACATGTTCTTTATAGAAAATGTTGAATTTTTTATACAACCAAATCCGCTATTGGCACATATAACAGATGTGTCTGTAAGTGTTTATTGAGTGTATATTTGTCATACTGTATGCGTGTGTCAAAACTTATAATTATATCCTTCTCAATATGCAAAATGAGTTTTTCATGTGTGAAAACTGCTCGGACCAAGTTAAACACATTTGAATGTATTCACCATGCAGTTTGATAACACTGGTGATCCCCAGTTTGGGGAATAAAAGTGTCCAGTTGAGTTTACTCGGCATGTGGAGATGTTCATGACAAAGTCTGTAATGAACCATAAAAACTAAAAAAAAAAAAAAGTCTGTAGAGTTTAGTTCATATACAAAACTCCCAGATCCAGGAAATGTTCACGGGTATTTATGCACGTTTGAGTGTCTGTCTAGCATGGCTCATGTGTCAATTGTATTTGTAAGTGTCTCTAGAGCATCCCTCTTAGGCATACCTGGAAAAATGAAATATATCAATTAGGAACAAGGAAATTCTCACATACTTCTGTTCTAATCATTACACCTTATCTAAAATGTACAATTTTAATCCCTTAAATATTATCAGTTTGAAGAGAGTTTTGAAAATGGATGATTGGTTGTTGTAGTGTTGTACTGTTGTAGTGTTGTACTGATGTCCAAACACCTAAGATGGATGAAAAAACCTGTGGTGCCATTGTTTATGTGTGTTTTACAACCAACATTTGCAATATAGGACTTCTGACGGATTGGTATTACTGAACCACATGATATGTTATTACTGGGTTTTCTTTGACTTACTTTTTCTTGGTTTGCCCTGCAGGTCTTTGTGTTTGTAGATCTCAAGGGGTTCATCCTTGTATATAGTCTTAGCAATAGGATCACCTCGTCTCATTTTCCTGCAAATGGTCATCAATTTTCAGTAAATATAGGGAGGGGACCTAGGCTGAACTAGTTATCAGAACATTTTCTTTTGGCGTCGAACATAATTTGCGATTGTACTTGTATTAAAAAAGGTTTGAAATTGTGTAAGAGGTGCTTACTGGTTTAATGAAGGTTCTTTATAAGACACAGCAGCACCTGCCGCTCTCCTGGGTCTCTTTGGCTCCAGTTCAATAGAACTGTCTTCAAACAGATGTGAGATTGGCCGCTTCTTTTTGTCATCAACCTGCAACATGAAGAAATCATTCAAATCAATATGTCAAACATTATTAGTATTGCACTGTATTTAAACTAAACAAAGTGCAACATGCCTCTGAGTAAATAAATTAGTGATGAGAACACATGTGCATGTATCTAACTATTACAAGTGATCTTGTTTTTTAAGTGACTTGATTTGATATTTCTTTTTCTTTTCGACATGTGTTCTATATTTAAAGTATTTTTTAATAATTTACCTTCTTTCCCATCTTCATGAGAGTAAGCCTTCGTTTGAACACCTCTAGTACACTCACATTGTTAGAGTCCTTCCTCTGAAAATGTATTCATAAAACATTAGCAATAACAAGTTAAACATTTAAAATATTTCATTCTGTATATCAAACATTATCCCAATGGCCATTCTTCAAGAACAGTTAATTATTTACAGTCCATATTTCAAAACTAAGAGCTGCAGTTTGAAGTGAGAAGTTTTCATGAAACAATCAAAGCTTACATGTACGTTAACCTATGGCTACTCTTATGTTAGATAACTGTTGAATGAAAGAATTTTTCAGAATACGCTATGATAAAGCAAATATTTTTCATGCTGACAATTTTATTTCAAGGAGAGAACAATCAATTATCAGTCACTGAACAGTATGAATCCAACTCTTGAATTTATGGCATAGGTAAAACATTTAGCTTAAACCATAGTGTGACAAGGCATTAACATGCAAAATGTCACCACCCCCTAGTTGTTACAGACACCAACCATCAGATGTCAAACACTGTCCTCAAAAAATTGAAGATATGTCACAACTTGAGGTGATGATATGACAAAACAGTAAAGAGATTATTGATCTCACCTCTTTAGGTACAAAGTGGTTGTTAGTTGTCTTTTCCACAGGGGGCTCAGTTAGCTGTGATGGCTCATTTACATCAACATCTTTCTTCTTGATCTTCTTCACACTCTTAGCCTTAGGCTCTGGAAGAACCGTGACATCTTCAGCGGGAGTTGGGCCTCCATTACCAGCCAGGTCAGCAAACAAGTCCAGACTGGAGTCATTAACAAACAGGTCGTCGAGATCAGAGGTTTTGGAGGAGTTCTTGATACGGTCCCGTTTGCTGATAGCTATGTCATCAGGTTTAGTGTCCTCTTTATTTAAGAATTCTTCAACAATGTTTGGATGTATATCATTAGACTGTTTGGTCTCATCTGTTATAGTGTCACTTTCACTGTCCAACATTATCTTTCTCTTGCTCTTAGTCCTGGATCTATCTGTTTTCTTGTTGGCTTCAATTTCTGGTTTATCATCTTTCTTGTTGGATGCTTTGTGAGAAGACTTTTTAATTACTTCCTTTTCTATAACTTCTTCAGAATCCTCCTCCATCTCAGTCTCTTTATTTTTGGGGTTTTTTGCTCTCCTAAGCTTTGAAACTGATTTAGCCGTTGGTTCAATAACAGTGTTTAGTTCCTCATCATTACTTTCAAACTCTTTTGCTTCTTTTGATTTAGATTTTGTTTCGAGGACTTTCTCTACAACGTCACCATTTGTTTCAGATTCATTTTTCCTTTCTTGTTGAACTTCAATTGTTTTTCTGGAAGTTTTTGTTCTTGTGCGAGCTCTAGATTTCCTTTTGTTAAGAGGTTCTTCAGCCTGGCATTCAACTGTAGGATTTTCACTCTTTTCCTCATTGTTTTCATTGTTATCATTACCAGAAGGCTGAATATCAATTGTTTTCCTATTAGTTTTCGTCCTACTTCTGGACTTTCTCTCAACTGGGGGTTCAAGTTCAGTATCTGATGTAACTTTCTCAGCTTCAACATCTTTGTTAGCACCAGTGTCAACGTCCTTTGGAATTTCCATTGTTTTCCGCAGAGTTCTGGTCCTGGTTCTAGATTTCTTTTCAACAATGGGTTCTACTGTTGCCTCTAGCTCAGTGGAAGATTTCTCATCTTCAACATCACCTTTTGGTTGTGGGATGTCAATAGTCTTGCGCAGAGTTCTTGTCCTGGTTCTTGGTTTCTTTTCCATTTCATCTTTGACATCTCCATCAGTGTGTTTTGCTGTCTCGTCTTCTTCTGCACTTGCATCTTTGTTCTTGTCAACAAGCTCAAGAGTTTTTCGCGAAGTTCTTGTCCGAGTTCTGTTCTTCACTTTTGGTTTTTCTGACACAAAATCATCATCTGGCTCAGTTTCAGCTTCCTCAGTGGTTGGTTTCTTAGACTTTGTCCTTGACCTTGATTTTGTACCAGTGGTTTTAGCCTCTGATTCATCTTCCTTAATGTCGAAATTTTCAGTTGGTTCAACTTGAGATTGTAGTTTCTCTCTGAATTGTGAGAGTGTTGGAAGTGGAGCCTGATTGGATTCATTCAGAGACATGTCATAAACATTTTTAGACGGTGGTTTATCTGAAGTACTAGGGGATTCAAAGTCAAATAACGAAGGAGGATCTCCATTCTGCGGTAGATCAAGTAACCGTTTCTTAGACCTTGACTTAGACCTTGAGTGGTTTTTACTCTTAGATCGGGCTCTGCAGAGTTGGGGTAGTCTCGATTCCGTTGAGTTTTCTCTGATGTCCTTCCTTCCTGCCTTGAAGACCATCTGCCCTGGTCGCTTCAACTGTAATGCTACATTGGTCTTAACCTTTTCAGTCATCACATCCTTATCAACATCTGATGCATCACTGATAGACTTCGAATCATCGGGGTCACTAATATCTTTGTTAAACGTGAACCGTTTCAGTCCAAGAGAACTTCCAGTGTTTCCTATGAATTCACTGTTTTGTTGCTGTTTCTTGTTGAACGAAGCAACTATTTGATTGGCACTTGGGTATTGTTTATTTGGATCTTCACTAAGATCAATGTTATTAGCTGAATCTGCACTGGTGACACTTGATGTTGTAGGTGGGGCCATGATAATGTTATTAACTGGTAAGACTGCTGTGAAGTCCATAGTAATGTCATCATGTATTGTTTCATTACCAATATCACTGGTGATTGGTTCATAACTGCTCCTTGTCTTATCTAAACCATCCATGCTATTTACTAAAATACTATCATCTTGATCAAAAATATTTTCCACATCAAGATCTCTGGTCATTGGTTGGGGAACAAAGTATGTGCCTCGTCTTTCTCCAGGGTTTACTTTCGGAGGTGAAGTTAAGGGAGGTGTAGTCTCAACATCATTCATAGGTACAAAATATGTCCCTCGCCTATCTATTGTTGTCTCCTTTTCAATTTCAGCGGACACAGCTGTAGGCTTAACAGGATCTGTGTCCTTCAGGGTTCCTCTCCTTGATTTACTCCTTGTATGTTGAAGATTTTTGCCATCATTGTTAATAGTTTCAGTAGTTTTACTTTGTGAGTCAGTTTCCATGTCACTTTGGGGTGATATACTTTTGGGTCTTTCTTTTGTTTGAATATTGCTGCTTTTTCTGTTTTTACTTCTGCCCCTAAGTGTCCTTCTTTTGGGCTCTTTATCAACTGTCTCTGCTTTATGGTCTTTATCTTCATCTGGCGAGATAATGCGCCCTAAAAGTTCAGAGTTGCGTGATTTACTTCTACTTCTCTTGCTTAATTCTGGACCCTCTGATACTGAAATGAATAAAGTATTAATTTATGATGATGTGAAATTTGGGACATATTGATAAAAATGTCACCTGACCATACATTGGGCTAACATAGTCATTTCTTATGCTGATGTGATATTTTGATGACAAAAAGCTGATTTCTCCAAAATGAGGCAAAAATAAGAACTGGGACCAATGATGTAAATTGTTGTTATATACATAAATACTTACACTTATACTATTTTCATATACAAGTATAAAAGTTTTACAAAATCGTTTCTCTGACACTGTTCGACAACCGTATTATTCTACTGTGAGCTCCAAATTCTACACAATTAATATTTCAGAGAAAGAACTCTGAACTAATTATTAATAATATTTCAGAGAAAAAAACTGTGATCAATTATTAAAGGTACACCATACTTTTTCCAAGAATAAGCTGTTCACTATTCTCATCATCAGTGAATGGTAGGGGAACATCATCCATGAACAAGGAACTCTCTGGGATCAGAGACATCTCATCGACATGTTTAGGTGCATCATGCACGCCACCTATAGCAGTCTCAAGGTTCATTGCCACTTTGCTGATGGCGCTTGAGAGGCTACTTAAAGTGTTGGGATTCCTAGACTTAGCACTGTCAGAGCCAGTGTAGAATATTGACCTACAACAATGATATCCATGGATCAAATCAAATATTGTATTATTGACATAAGATGTATCAATATGCACTTTTATTCAAGTCTGGAACTGAGTGAGCATCTAAGTTTTACTCCAAACACTCCATGTTTAAGCAACTTGCAATTCTTAAATGATTCTAGAAAATGTACTGTACTTTAAATTGTCACAATTTACTGATTTTTAGATTATCAAATTAGCATCAGTGTTCCATCAAATAATGCTAATTTGTATGCAGTTCATTTATAGTTTCCATGAATTTTTCCCATTGCTTTCATGTTTTGATTGTCCAAAATTCTAATGAAACTACAGCACGAAGCCTACCTCTTAGGCATGCTGGTATTGAAGGCTGATGTATTCAATGTAGAGTCGATGGTTGTATCACATGCTGTCCCTACAGAGTGTGGACGTGGGTCACTACACATGTTGAGAGCCTCACCTAGGTGAGTCACAGTCTCAAGCAAGTTACTCGTCACTTTGCTAAGGATATTCTGAACATCAGCCATTCGCTTCTATAAACAAGTAAAACACACATGTACAGCCAAGCTGCTATTCATCTACCCAGCATTAGAACAACTGGGCACAGCACACTTTAACATTACATGTCACCCTGTTAAAAATCTGTTTCTAACGTTCTACCCTGTCAAAATGATGATCTGTTGCGATATCTTGACTAAAATATGTAAAATTATGATTTTGACCCTGCTGAGAAAGAACATGGCCGACTGGAGAGAAAGTAACCAGCAAATCTGTATTTATTGTAATTCTCTACCACTACAGTAATTCATATTACAGTATTAGATCTATGACTTCCACTGACCTTTATTCTGACCTGTACCTCCTTCTCAACACCATCATTCCTCAAACCTGCCACATGCTGTAGAGAATTAATCTTCACCTAAAATATTATAGAAATAATCAACACTGAGTGAATATAGCAAATCAACTGTAAATTGTTTTCATTTGGTGCTTGCTTTAGCTTTCCAATTCACCAAATCTGTACAAGATCATCAATTTATATCTCTCCATACCACTGTACAATTGTATTTTTATGTTAATTTAACATGTTTATTTCATATTCTTCATTTCGATATATTGAAAAAAGAGAATAACATTACAAGTTTATTTTAATGAAAAATTAGTATCAGAATTTACCATTTGTTCCTGGTGTGCGTGTTTCAGCGCTAATTCTCTCTTGGTGACTATCTGGAGCTCTTGTTTCACACACTCTAGCGCCCGCGCCAGTTGGCGATTGTTGGCCTTTAAACTCTGTTTCACAACTGAGGAGTTTGCTAAAACATTTAAACTCTCATAAAGAAAAGATCCTCATTCAATGCTAATGACATACAGTACTTGAAGTGAATGAACAAACACAGGGATTTTAACTGATTCCCTACAGAGCTGATATACTTGATTAATGGTTGGATATTTAGCTGGATGTTATTGATATGTGAGTCTGGCAATGCCGTTTGAAGTGGTCGAAAAAATGATTTTTACAAACAATACAAAAATTTATCAAAGTTGAAAACTACTAACCTAACCTCAGAATCTCAGATTTTTATGAACTAAACTGCATGGAAATGGCCTTCTTGGCCATTCTATTTTTTCTTAACTGTTCTAACTTACCACTGCCTATCTTCCCATGTCTCTTCCCTTTTGCAGGAGTCTTCATCTTCATCCTTCCTATTGAAACATTCAGTTTTCCCTTTCCTTTTCCAACATATTTAAGTTTGGAGCGTGCTTTCTTAAATGGGTCTTCCCTCTCATTCTAAAACAGTAATATCCAAACCTCACAATACATACACTCGCACTTCTTCTTTTCATAGCTGAGTTTCACTAGGTAACCTAGGACTTTGAAAGACATGTCACAGACTGGTAAGTATGTGGTTAATATATCATTTCCTTATTTTTCCAATTTAAAGTACTTTCTAAAAAATATGAATTTGACTGTACTACTACTTTTTTCATTGCCCAACTTCGTCATAGAATTTGAAAATAAGAGGTAGCTAATGATTGGGAGTCTTACTAAGCATTAAGCACAGTATTTTATTGAAATTTGTGAATGTGCTTTTGCAAATTTTCCATTTTATCTTGTGTTGTCTTCTGGGAAGGAGTTGCCCCAATCATGAAATTAAATACTGACCCTTGAACTTTAATTTGTTGACATGTAAGTCAACCATGTCTGATGTGAAAATAATTATAATATTAACAAGTTAAGAACAAGGCAGAGGAGGATAGCCTGTTCTAAGATAGAAGACACAGCATGATCTACAGTCGCACTATACAGTGTGTCTCCAAAAAATGTTACACTTACAAAAAGTTCAATACCTCTCATGATTTTGACCTTTCCCCTAAAATATACTTAGATACCATAAGACCAGTCTTTCTCGAATAAATTCACACCATCAGATTCAAAATCCGTCCAAGATTGGCTGCACAGGACAGATTTTATCGACGCATGTGAAATCTGATTTGCGCCAACTTCTCAGTGGCTGGACATGTGGTGATCAATTCTTTTTTGGTGTGAATGCTATGGACAGTGATATCTTGATATGATCAATGATCCAGTTGTTTATTTCCTGGATAGAAATACAAGATATCATTGTCAGAGTGTTCAATTTTGTTACGTATGATGGAAACAGGATGGTGCAAAGGCCTGTGGCAGATCGTTTGGTAGAACTCTTTGGAAATCAGAAGATAGCATTGAATTACCCATTGGATTGGCCCCCAGGGTCATCCCACTTTACACCCTTGAGTTTTTGAAGGGCCTCTGAAAGCGGTTTACAGCATCACACACTGACCTAAATGAACTTCTGCAAAAATAATTGATAGAATCAGAGTGATATTACAATTCATGTGCGCATGGGCAAGGGTACCTCAGATTTGCTTTGGAGAACATGTTGAGGGGACCACATCTTTATGTGGATAGACCCAATGATCATATGTAACACAAATACGAAAACTACATTATGACTCAGTTTAAGGTCAAGCTTCTACTCAGAAGAAAGTTAAGTATTAAAGAAACTGTTCCTCTTTTGCCATTTGATCCATCCAATCACTTAAAAGTTGGCGCAAGTCAGATTTTACCATGGGACACTAAAAGCTGTCATGTTGAGCCAATCAATTACAGATTTTGAATTTGATGGTGTTAAATTATTCGAGAAAGATTTGTCTTTTGGAATCTAAAGTATATTTTAGGGAAAAGTCAAAATTATGAAAGATATTGTACTTTTTGTGAGTGTAACATTTTTTTGAGACACAGTGACACTGTAGGTCAGAACGAAATGCTTTTTTTAAGGTTATGTTTTATTTATTAAACGATCATTGTACAATATCTGACAAGCTATGGAGAAAGTAAGAATGGGTCGTCTGCTGTATTAGTCCATTAATACAGTAGGACGAACCTGTTGGTGATATAGAAGAATAACACATTGGTATAGTAAAATCAATGAACAAACATTTGATTTTACACATATTATCGGTAATGTTTAGTACCATGAACTTACAAGGAAATCATTCATTTTCACAGTTCATACTTTATCTCTTGAATATTGTGCTAAATGCTCAACAGTTGACGCAACAAAGGTGATAGGGTTTCATTGAAATCTCCATTCTAACCTCTAGAAGGTAAGTAAGACTCCAAATTGTTAGCCTACTCTTATTTTTCAAATTCTAACAATAAAGTCAGGCCGAGAAAAGGCAGCCCTAATAGGCTAGATTCTAGATGAAAGGTACATGTAAGCCATAGGCAAACTAGGATTTTAGCCAGATTTCAGTCAAGAGTTGATCCGGGGTTGACAAGTATGACAAAAGCAGAAGCCATTAGATCTCTAAATAGGCTACGGTGCCAATCATCAAATCTTATAATTCTTAAAATAACATAGATCAATATTTTATCATGAAAAATTCTTTTCAAATTGATTTGATTTCAATTTTTTAGAAAAATATTGTAAAAATCATATAATGACTTGAAAATGCATGCATGCATTGAATCGACAGTTAAAAGAAATGTCATAGATGACACAAACTTAGCTGTAGCTTTTTTTACACGTTATATGAAGAAATAGATGTAAATATAAGACTTACACTGGTTTCTGGAGGTGAATCTTCAACGGAAAAAAGTTCACCGTCCTCCATTTTGGATTTCGCGCTATTCTATTCTGATTGGTTAAAAGTTTTAGTCACATGACATTTTGAAATTTGTTCGAGAGTGAGATATTTATTCTTGTTTAATATGGTTTACTCTTTCCAATGATCAAAGTAGGTGTATATAGTACTTTCAATTTATCTTATTTATCAATATAAGGTCAAACAGAATCAGTATCCCCTTTTACTTGCATCAAAAAATCTTACTCTCATCTTAATATCACGTGACAGTTTTTCGGACAAAATGGCGTAAAGCGATTTACCCTAACGACGTAAACATTTATGATTATTTCAACTAAAACACTCTTCTTCTATTCTTTTTCTCAGTTTGTATAACTATCTGTTGAAGACCATATAATTGTCAATCACATTGGCTAAGTATAAACTTGGAAAATATTAAGGTACAGCTGGAAAATAACATTTTGGTAAAAATTGCTATAGATCTACCTGTAGACTATATCCTATTTAGTCTGAATTATATTCAGACTATAAGGCACCTATGTTAAAGTATGGTAATCCAAAATATTTGTTTACATAGGAAGTGCTATTCAAAATGGCCGATTGGGTAAAATTAATTTGCACATTTTTTACTTCAACTAGCTTTATTTCCACTTGACAATATGCTGTGTTACTTTTTATTGCATTTAATTGTACCTTACTATTTTATTTAAATTTTGTAATGTTTATTTTATAGAACACATGGTTCCTCTAATTGATAATTTTGTGCAAAAAATTTCACTGCAATTTCCACAGGAAAGTAGTACATCATAACAGACTGACTTCTAGTCAGTCTGTTGGATACATACTAGATCTACCTGGCTACTGCACATGTTATTTTCTGGTACATAATAAAGTCTTAAAATTTAAAGTAATTTTAGTTTTTATTAGTAAACCATACTTACCTAATATTGCCACTATGTGCTAACATCCACCATTGAATCTATCTATGGCCAACTTCCCGGGAATTTCTTGAGCATATTACACTGTGCACCCCCGCACAAATGCCCGGATATTCCTCAATTATTCCGCTATAACAATTATGAACATTCTGCTGTAAGCGGAGGAGGAGGGAGGGACATATTTGTAGTGGCAATATTAGGTAAGTATGGTTTACTAATAAAAACTAAAATTACTTTAAATTTTAAGATTTTACTACGCAAACCTTAACTACTTACACTAATATTGCCACTATGTGCTGAATCCCAGCCAAGTAGGCGGTGGGTTAAACAGCAGAAAGACCACGGGAATAGAATAAATTTGCAACAAACTACAAATTGATCAACCCTACAACTTTAGGTAACCCAACTTTACATCCTAAAGCCTTCGGGACTAAGGAACTTAGTAACCAAATACAAGTTCTGGGGTGAAATGTTTAAACTGTGTTAAACACTTAACAAAACTAATTATACAGATTCACTATGCTAAAAAACTACTGAGTATTATTTCATATATGACTCAATTGGCCACTATGATAAAAAACGGACGTCTATCTATGGCGGGGTAATTCAACCACCAAAGGTCAACAACGAACTTATACCACAGTACAAATTCTGACATTCTGATTGGCCATAAAGTTAAGAAAAATGTCAGAATATCTTCTTGCATAGTCCTAGACTTACATACATGACTTGGAAGTAAATTAAGCTGCCCATTGTGCCTGCTTTAAACATATCTTCCACTCGACTTCTAGAAACAAAGATTGAAGAAGTAGTTACTGGTCTTGACATAACGTTTTCGACCCTTCTTTAACAGCTACATGTGTATACTTCTGTATACCTTGTACATGTATAGATAACAGCTAATAATTGCTTGATCCAAAGATCTAAAGGAATTTTATTGAAGTTCCTTAAATGTATCTGGTTCTTCAAATCAATGCAAACTTTTCGTTCTCTCTTTTGAGTAAAGGTGAGACTAAGTACTACATCGGTTACCATATGTTGGACTCTTTATGATATTCGAACTTTGAACACCAGTTGTTTAAATATTCTTGGGATTTCTCCGAAATCCCAAATTACATTAAATATTAAACATCTGGTATAAGTGCTTCTGCAAAGCATTGTAACCCTTAAAGGCTAAGCTGTGTCTGAATGATAAACTACGTAGAGATTCATCATTTACTCATTGCCATTAGGATCACATGTTCAATCATTGAAGAACCCATGTACACCCTCCTTATTAGTCGAGTATGCTTGGTTGTTTACAATTCAACAATAAAACTTGCATATTACCGAACACTTTCTGAAAAAATCGGTTAATTAGATAGTCATGTATCCAAACATGTCTAAATGATACCTGCTGAATACAATCCTAGATCTTGGTACAAACCCAAGAAAGGGATTATAATGGTTTAGAGTGAATAAGTTCAACTGATTCACAACACTAACTCAAAACCTTAAAGAATCATTCGACTCTAGAAGAAGTTATCAGGACAAGATCATTTAGGAACTGGTTCTGAAAACCCTCCTCTGATATATGCTGACATCAGAAAGTTTACTAGACTAGTAAAGCATAATCTTGTACGATATCATGATAGAAATATCATTAGAGAGTTCGATTTACAACAATTACAGGTAAATAAGACGACTACCAAGTAATTCAGTAGCATTCTAGTCTTATCGCATATATAGTGTGATAAAAACTCTGCGTCTCTTGGTAAGAAACACCTGCAATTTATCCACAAAGTTGCTGGGGAAGATATACGTTTCATGTATCTTCTAATATTGCTGTTTAGTCATAAACAAACATGTATACTATCACTAAAATATGAGTAAATAAACTCATTAAAATGCAAACTCACATTAATGAGACTATGATGTTCTAAACATCAATAATCTTTGAATCAGAAACAACAAACAATTCAAGTGAGACGTCTTGATGTCTAATAGTTAATAGTATTACACATCAATTGAACTGTAGTGTCAGATGTCACAATATTGCTTTCTTGCAATATAGGTGTTAAAAACCCCATCACGCTTCTCATCCTTAAAATCTACAGGTGTTTCACATTCTCTTGTTGAAAATGAACCCTGATTTTGAAGGAAATCTAGCTGTCAAGCAACGTGGATATGACAACTACGTTATGATTTGCATCTTTGAACACAAAAATGTTCTTGGGCAACTTTCATCTACCTAGTAAGTGTTCAAGAACCGTTCCAATAACATGTATAAATATAACGAGAATTATTCTCGCATTGAAATCCTCTGTTAAACACCTCAAGAGGTTGACCACCATCTGCCTCAAATATGAATGGTACAGAGGAAAATAAAGCAACGTTAAAAGCCTTATTCAATTGCCAAATAGAATAGGCAAACAGCACTAAACTACAGTAGCTAATAGGAATCGAACCGATGACTATGTGGTTCCTGAGAATAACATTCCTGTGACAGGGCACCAAAATGCCTTGTTAATTACTTGGAATCTTGACATCATAAACCTTAGATGTATATTTGTCCTATTAAGGGGGTAGTGACATTACTAGTCTCAGGGCAGAACGATTCCTTAACTCAGTGTTCTACTCAGAACAACATCTTAAAAAATGTACTGTCTCAAAAATGAAACTATTTGATAAAGTATAGATGGAGTAGAAGATAATTCGTATAGAAATATCTCCAAAACCACACGGAAAACTGAGATTTCCGTTAAAGATCATATGTATAACAGTCAGCAGAGGATGTCTGTGATTCTTAAAATCATGAGACTGTTACAAAAATAACTTGGTCAAAATTTGATCACGACAAGACATATGTGTGAAAAAATTGCCACTGTTAATATTAATTGACCAATGCGTAAAAAGGTAAGTCTGAATCTCTTGTTTGGAAGAGCTCATGTCAAGACAAACGAAACCATGTCTATAACAAAGAGTACACTAGCTCTCGAGTATATAGTACTTCAGTACCACTAAATGATGTGTTGAGGTTCTACCACCAAGGAAACATGGTAACAATGATTCCATGGTGAAAAACATAAACCTCTAAACAACATGTAAGATCTCTCAAATAGTGATTGAACTGAACACTGATGATACCATGACTTAAAGTGAAGGTGTGGCTATTTAAGACACAAAAGATTACACAGAAGCACGGCACGACTGTGAACCTGTTGATGATGATACTGTCATGACTGAGACTGGCTCAGTAAAACACTGATTATACTTAAACCGTGTTTAAAAATCACTTTGACTATACTCTGAGCAACCTGAACAAGGTCAAAATAAACAAATATTCATTCTGTGTGTGATGTGGTAGCAAACAGGCCCATGGTCTGGAATACAAATATAGGGACTTGTTATAAGTAAGTATAACTACTTCCCCTCATCACAAAATAAAACCTTTGGAATAACACCCAAGGTTGTAGGGGAAAGCACAGAATTTGATTTACAGTCTCTTGAACTGACTTACAAGAGATCTGAAAAGTAATCTTAGACTTCAAAAATCAACTTTTGACTTCAAAAGCTGCCAAGGCCAAGTAAAATGAAGGAAACAAAACCTTCACGGAGGTGATGTTTTAGACATAACCTTACTTTATCTGGCAAACTGAAAACCGCCAAATGTTTAAGTTTTCAAAAAACCTCGACTGTAATCTTAATTCCTCAAACAATTAACTCTGAGTTGAATGCTTTATGAGAAGCATCTGGAGAAAGTAACCTATGTCGAAGGTACTTCCGCCAACTCAATTCTGAATGTTAAAATTCCAGGAATAGAGTCTAAACTGCTAAATAGGAGTATTCAGAAATGATTCCTGAGAAAAAAGATTTCAGTCAGAAATGACAAGTTCATGACATTGTCATTTGTCAACGCTTACAACACTTCTTATATGAATAAGTACTTGTGTTGTTCAGTTGTTGGCTAATATGGCTAGAAGGATAGGCCTAGTCTAGAGACTCAAAAACTAAAACAATCTAAGTCACCTTCTACTTCTTTGTTGAAGAGACTGAATCAACCAATAACAGGATGATTGTGAGCATCCATGAATCGTTTTCTTCAGCATATATTAATAGCAACATGTACCATTACTTGGAGAAAACAGAAACGCTCAAACAGAGACCATAACTTATAGGTCTCTGATTCGAAAAGATTTTACATCTACTTGGAAGATGAGTAGGCTAAAAATGCTATATTGGTCTTTTCTGTGAAGAAGATGACGACTTCACAGTAGACCTACTGTTAATCTTACAGTTACTCTTGTTAATCTTTAGCCTATCCTCTTTCTGAACAGTAGACAAACAACTCAGTCCAGAAATAACTGAACCAAATGGATAATTGACAAACTTATCCTGCTGCGCAGAACTAGTATAAAACTGAATGGACTAAATAAACCAATTATACAGCTGTGGTCAGCATACGTGTTCTATGTATGCAACATTACATGAATACTACACCAGATTTTACAACATACGGTTATATTTTCTAAATACATTTAAATGTATGTGAACCAAGTGTCTTCATCTGAACATCTTATTGTGATCACGCTACTGTAAGATGAAGAAATATCTTCTTCATCCTAGGATCATGCAGTCCATGCATGACACATGTCAAATCCTGGAAGACAAATTTACTGGTGTAGTTATTTCTTCATGTTTATTACATAATTCATATAGGGACTGGAGTCCTTTTATAAACTGTGCATGAAGAAAAGAGGTGATAACTTCTTATGAACACGTATGTGTTTTCATTGTGGACTTACAACCAAAAAACACATGAGCAGTAAAGAAGCCATTTCGTCTGCGTTCTCCTGAACACGTATGTGTTTTCATTGTGGACTGACAACCAAAAACACCTCTGACTGTCTGAAGCCATCTTCAGATATAGATATTTTTCAAATTTCTCATATTCATCTGGAACTGAACACGTTTATGTGATGAATACAGAGACGAAAAATTGAGAGCTGGGTAAACTTGAACAGATAATGTTTTCTTATGGACTGACAACCAAAAGAAACACCTCAGTGTAAGGCAAGGTACTGCAAGGCATAAACACAGTGTCTACCTTCTTCGGGCTTCCTTACTTTCTTATCTGGATTGAAAACCTCTCACATGTAACATAACACAGAGAAGAACATGTACTATTTCGTTCTCTGTACATGATGTGTTCTGATGGTCTAATGACCCCAGAGAAATTGTCATTTAATATGACAAATTGTCTGGAAAAAAGGTCAATTGACACTAGAGACCTTTTCCATATGCTTACTATAATCTCATGTCGGGACTGAAGACCCTATATGGAGCAAGCAAAGATAAAACGAACGAGGTAAGATCTTCGACATTTTATAGATCAGATGTTTTCTTTGTGGACTAACAACCCAAAGAAAAAACCTTGAAAACTTGTCTTATAGTTCCATATGATCTATTTTCCTCGTCCTCTTACTTTCATTTGTAACTGATGAACCTGTAGAACAACTAACTTCCCAGTTCCGTGTTCATAGTCACAAGTTATTTGTAAATTTATTGCGATTCTAAAATTTCCGTCTTTACAGAAGGAAAATGGCGGAATAATTTGAGGAATATCCGGGCATTTGTGCGGGGGTGCACAGTGTAATATGCTCAAGAAATTCCCGGGAAGTTGGCCATAGATAGATTCAATGGTGGATGTTAGCACATAGTGGCAATATTAGTGTAAGTAGTTAAGGTTTGCGTAGTAAAATATGAAGGCATGTGCCAATTTCCTTGCTTTTTTCAGGAAAGTATCATTACATTCACGGACATCTAATACGTTCTTCGAATTGCCCTGGAACTATATTTATAAAAGTATTTGAAGTCCCAGAATTTCGCCAGAAACATTCTCTCTGACTGTGATTACATTGTCTTCTTTTAGAATATCTGGTAGAAATTCAATGGGAACTCCAGGAAATTCTGATATTAAACACTTTCTATTTTTCCAAATTTTCTTTCAAAGTTTCCAGACAACACAGGAGCTACCATTGACCTGTTTCCAGGTTTACTAAAAGTAGACAGTGTAATGATACTTTCCTGAAAAAAGCAAGGAAATACACACATGCCTTCATACTTAATTTTGTATCAGAAAATAACATGTGCAGGTATAGCAATTTACCAAAATGTTACTTTCCAGCTGAGCCTTAGATTTAGTTTATTTTCTGGTGTATTTATCTTCATGTAGATCTATTACTAATTATTAGGTACATTATACAGTGACTGGGGGGGGGGTAAATCTTCTTCCTGGAACCGTGATTTATGTCGTTCTAGACTCTAATCCAACTAAATCTCAATATTTTCCAAGTTTATAGCCCTACTTAGACTTCACTCTGTCACTTACTCAGGCAGTCAGTGACAGTCATTTGACTTAAAGTCTGTTACACTGCTTCAAAGGCAAGCAGTTAAACCTGAAATATAAGAAATCTAAAGACCATTATGCAATAACATATAGTAAAATATATTCATATTGCACACGAATGACATTTGTATATGTTTGATTGCTTGTAACCAAACTCGTCTGGCCCAGTTATCTACTCCTGACATCGTAGATCTCGAGAGTAGATTACTGGGCCAGACGGGTTTGGTTAGATTGCTTGTAAATTGGCTCATAAAGTCTGTAACCTCTTATATTTCGATGCTTCTCTACCATGTTAATTCTCAAATAAATAACATGGTGCACAGACATCAAATTACAAGAGGGCACATGCTTATTGCACTAAACACTAAATAATCTGAAATATACAAATGTCATTCGTGTGCAATATGAATATATTTTTCTATATATTATGGCACAATGGTCTTTAGATTTCTTATTTTTCGGGTTCAACTGCTTGCCTTTGAAGCAGTGTAACAGACTGTAGCTTAGTCTCAGACTCAAGATTGATCTAGACAAGATGATCTGAATCTGGCTTGGTCATACCAAAATCGATCAAATGTTATTAGATGGTCCGTTTTTCTCATTTGTGTGTGTTCACAGGTAATTAGCAATGCTTTAGCAGAGACAAACTATAAATTATAACCAACATTTCACATTTTGTGTACCATCTCACTGTATTGACTAATGATTACAACTCATTCACCAAAATAAGAAGGCACTATGGCTATGCCCACTAAGCAGCCCTTACGTGACCATTAATTTAGTTTCAATATTTGTGTGGGAGTAACGATTTACAATTCTACAAGTATTACATTGTTTGTACCTATTGATAACATCGCGCTGTGCATGAACAGTAGAATATTGAATTAGGCAACACTTTGGTAATATTTGTCTTAGGAACTGACAGAAACAAGTCTTCCATGCATTGTCACCCAAGATGTCGACTTTTGAAACTGACAAAGAAGCAAGAAATGCAGAGAAAGAAGCCAAAGCTGTTTCCAAATTGGTTTCCAGGAAATTGTAAGTATTAAATACAAACTATGGCTAATATGTATAACTTGAAATATAGTTCTCATGTAGCCTAATATATTTGAATATGTTGGTCTTCATTCAGACATTTTTATAGTCAAGCATATTTCAGTCATAGATTTGTTTTTCATTTAGGGAAGGGTATATGAATTATGCAAGAAGAGAGCAAAGATTTGATCCAAGTGGCCGGGGATATCGAACAAACCCATTGATGGTGAGTGGACTTAACATTGTAATGAAATATAATAATGAAATATGAATGACCTTTTATTTTATTCAATTTAATGATCTTTTATAATTAAGTATTGTCGCGTTCCAGACTTTTGCTGATAGTCTGGAAGCGATGAGTTATTTTTCTACCTTACGCTTCCTAGTGGGCCCAGTCCTGGTTTGATGGACTGGATAAAACGACAGTCACAAATGGCTTCCAATTTAATAGATATATTTTTACACAACTATTAATACAGGAAAATAACACTTTAATGTTCATAAACTAAAATGTCACTATAATTCTCTTTGTAGGATGGATGTCGGCGGTTGCTGCGTTATTAGCTCTTTGCTTGGCTCCCTGGGCTCTGTAGCCTGGCTCCTCTGGCTCTTGAACTTGGTTCCTCTGGCTCCTAAACGTGGCTCCTCTGGCTCTTCGTCCAGCTCTTTGGCTCCTCTGGCTCTTGAGCTTGGTTCCTCTGACTCCTGAACGTGGCTCCTCTGGCTCCTCGTCCAGCTCTTTGGCTCCTTAGCCTGGCTCTTCTGGCTCTTGAACGTGGCTCCTCTAGCTCTTCGGCTCTTTAGCCTGGCTCCTCTAGCTCTTCGGCTCTTTAGCCTGGCTCCTCTAGCTCCTGGACTTGACTCCTCTGGCTCCTCGTCCAGCTCTTTGGCTCCTTAGCCTGGCTCTTCTGGCTCTTGAGCTTGGCTCCTCTGGCTCCTGAACGTGGCTCCTCTAGCTCTTCGTTGAGCTCTTAAGCTTGGCTCCTTTAGCTCCTGGACTTGGCTCCTCTGGCTCCTCGTCCAGCTCTTTGGCTCCTTAGCTTGGCTCCTCTGGCTCTTGAACGTGGCTCCTCTGGCTCTTAAGCTTGGCTCCTTTAGCTCCTGGACTTGGCTCCTCTGGCTCCTCGTCCAGCTCTTTAGCTTGGCTCCTCTAGCCCTTAAGCTTGGTTCCTCTTCTTACTGGGAAGGCTCCTAGCTGCTCTTTGCTCTAGAAGTCTTCCTGGAACTATTTCTGTCAGCGGTGAAACCAACTGACAAAATAGTTCACTGTGACTCTTGACTCGACTCTTCTGGCTCTTTAGCCTTGCTCTGCCTCTATGGCTCTTGAGTTTTCTGGGAAGACTCCTCACTGCCCGATGCGATGGAAGTCTTCCTGGAACTATTTCTGTCAGCGGTGAAACCAACTGACAAAATTAGTTCGCCGTGTTGGGAAGTTTCCCAATTTCACCTAACGATAATGCAAGGCTGCTTGCAGGTTGTTCCTTGCTGCTTCCCCTAGGACAGCACTGAACTGTGAAGAATTCTTGACAACACTTTAGGCAATTAATGACACGGTGTTGTTTTACATTAAATCTGACAAATATCTCACTTTGGAAAGCCTGGGACACAAAATGGCGACACACAGTAGATCTCAATACCCGATGAATTAGAACCTACAGTCAGTCAGAGGCATCTCAGTAGCATGCTGGCCATGAAGTTACAAATTCTGGTACACATGGAATGAAAAATTACAGTCAGTCAGAGGCATCTAGTAGCATGCTGGCCATAAAATCAAATCAACAAAAAGGAAAAACCTCACCCGAATAAATGCTTCTTTCTCTAAGTTGCCAAAAATTCAGGTTTTCTCTGTTGTTTCTCCTTCAAGAACCTCCTGGTGCGTCTTCCCGCTTTATCATTCGTTATTAATCCCGAATCCTTAGCAGATGGCTACTCTAAAGTGTGATAAATGTGGATTTCCTCCCAACCTTTGATTCACGCTGCTTCCTTCAAGATGGCGACCTTCCTTCTCTATCATGTGATGGCATGAGTCATAGGCACAGGTGAACACATTTTGAAATCAGGGGCACTGCATTGCAGCAATTGAGGGGATTCCCCTTCCTGTCTTGGAATACCCACTTGTGAGCAGGGGTTTCCCCATCCCTTGAATAAATGGACCATTAAACACTGAATTAAACAATAATCTGCACCAGTGGGAAAATTAAAAAGGACAAACACAAAAAATGAAATTTTCCCACATACCCCCCTTCTAGCTTTTATGTGCCCTCACATAAAACAAAATTCCTGCAAATTATCAAAACAAATGTACTGTAACTGATAACTGTCTTCACTCTCTGACTCCTGGTGCCTTCTTTACAGGAAGAGCTTGTCAGCTCTCAGAGGCTCTTGGTCTTTCTGTGTTTTGCTCGCTGACTTGGGTATGCTCCATGGAGGAGCACCAATTGGACTTGTTTTCTGATGCATTGAGCTCTTTGGAGGATGCTCCTTGTACGATGAATTCTTAGAAGGATAGTTCCTCTTACAAGGGGAGCTCTTAGCTGGATAGTACCACTGGTGTGAGGAGCTCCTGAGATAACCCTCCCTGTGCAGAATCCTCTTTCTGGCATACTCGTTTGCAGGTTTGTTTCTCTCACAGGTCCTTGGCCTGAATTGTGACCTCGAATGCTTCCCCCTCCTTTTTCTGGGCTTAGTTGACAGGGCTGGATTTCTTTCCCCCTGTTCTTCTATCAGTGGACAATTTTTCAACTGTCCTGCCATCGGCTCTTTGTCCACTGGCTCTCTCTTCTCCGAGATTCGATTTACTGCTTCTGGGGGCTCTTCTAAATGAGACACTAGATTCTCCACTGAGCTAAACACACCAAGTATTGTGCCCATCTCCAATCTAACTGGATGCGCAGAACAATTCCTCAGCTTGATAAGAGCAATCCCATCTCGTGCCTCAGTCAGGGAAGTAACCACCTCCACTTCATCAGATTCTAGAGCATCTGGTAACACCGATTCGATGATCCCCATCTGACTTGCCTCCTCTGTAGGAGCAATGTGGACCTTTAACAGCTTACTTGAATAGGGTGGAATGTCCTCGTCTGCCATCAGTTGACAAACCCGAGGGGCAAATGGGTATGGTGGATCAGACCCAGTAGAATTCTCTTCCTTGTGTTGTTCCCTGGCCATAACTCTTGGTTTTTTGGCTTCCTCCTCTTCCAGGTCACTTCCCTCAGCATCAACATTCTTATCAAAGGCTGCCTTCTTATTCTGCTTTAGAACCTCAGTAAATGTTACTCTTCTCTCGTTTTTCTTAGATCTTTGCATGGGAAGTGGTAATGATGCTCGGTCAGAGGATGGCTGTTTCTGCTTCTTCGGTGCATTCAATGATGTCGTATTCATTCTTTGAGTCTGCTCATCTTGCACAAGGTGTCGCTCTGTCATCTCTCCGTCATCAAAAGACATCTCCAACTTGTTGAAGTTTATAACAGCTCCACTGGTTAACATGTATTCTACTCCCAGAATACCAGCTTGAGCAATATCGGCTACCACTGCTGTAGTCAATGTTGTTCTCCCTTCTATCTTTATCTTTCCAGTAATCTCCCCATATGTGGAAAGGGGAGAGCCATCGGCTTGTACAAATACTTGAGACGGAGGCTTCAAACTGGGTCGTCGACAAAGAGGTATCTTCTGGTAGCTTTCTATGCTGATCATGTTCTGCACAGACCCAGAATCAATGAGGAACTGCATGGAAGTTCCACAAAACTTTGCATCTGCAAGAATCTTCCGCACCACTTGCTTACTACCAGGCTGCAGGTCAACATTGTTATTGAACAAAAACCTAATAGGGCTGGTATTGCTGAATCTTGAATCATTACGGTGTCGCCGAGGCTCAGGACAAGAGGATGCAATATGACCTAGACCATCACAGTTGTAACACCTGGTTTGTGAGCAAGAGGTCATTGAATGTCCTCGTTCCCCGCAGCTCTTGCAGGGATATCTCGTTCCCGCCTTTCCCTGGGGTTTGGGGCTCTCCTCCTTGTTTTGAAGATTCTTTATTTCCGTCAGCAATTCCCTTTTTAATCCATGTAAGAGCTTGGTAAATTCAGATGAGTCTTCTTCCACTGTCGAGATTCTTTGCTCCTTAGTCATCCCTTTGAGTCCTTGTCTTATTCTCTCAGACTCTTGATAGCTCTCCTCTCTAAGAGCAATTTCAATGCTCTTGTCTAGTGTGGATGGCTCCTTACTGTGTATGGCCCGCCTTAGCTCCTCATCTGGGATTGCTTGTTCAAAGCTTCTGCGAGCGAGCCTATCTTGAACATCCCGGCTCATTTCCGGGTATGCCATGGAGGTCAGTCGTCGTATGTGTTGCCCTAGACTTTGCAAAGATTCTCGGGGCTTTCTTTTTCGACTGCACAGCTCAGCCTCATACACATCTGCCTTGCCGCCTGGGCCGAACCTCTTCTCCAAGGCTTCCAGTAGGTCTTCATAAGAGTAGCCCCTCTCTAATTCCAGGACAATCTGCTGGGCATCCCCTCTTAAGTTGGTGGCCAAATACTGAGCCTTCTCTTTGTCCGTCCAGTTATTATTTGCCACACACGTCTGAAAATATGCTTTGTAATCTGGCCAGGGATTCGACCCATCGAACGTTTGTGTAGGCTTTATCCTTGTATTTCTCCCTGTATTTGACGATTCGACTGCCTTTCCGCAAATTTCGATAGCTTTCTGAGCCATTTGCAGAACAGAATCTAGCGCCGAAGTATCAGAGGCATTTGAAGCTTCTTCATTCCGACTCTTCTTACCTGGAGAAACATCAGGCTCACAGTCTTGTTCTTGCCCCGTGGCTCCCGTTGCTGTCTCTTCTGGAGTAACTCTGGCTGTCTCATTATGGGAACTGCGAGATGGTAGTTCCAGGTGTGGGTTCGCCGTCATTGTGGCCTGTTTCAACTCAGGTCTGTACCTTGGCTGAGGACTTTCTTTCACCACTGTTTTCTCTGCTCTTCTACTCGAAGAAGTAAGTTTCGGCACAGCACCACCCGACTCTTTGCTAACCTCAACGTATGACAACATGGGAACTGGATTTCTCTGCATTCCTTTTATAGAGCAATTACTCCCCCCTTCCAGATGTGACCTATCCTCCATCGGATGAGCTTGAAATCTCCTTCCAGGAGGAGGCAGTGGAGGCTCTCCATACGTGGTCCGTTTCTCCCAAGTGGAGCGTACTGGGTCATCTTGCTGACAGGCAGTTTCCTGTTCCTGCTTTACCCGTCTCTCGTGAACCGAATATGGAGGCAGCCAACCTCCCGCCTCCCCGGGGACTGGCTCAAACATCATTGGTGTGTCTTCTCTATGAAAGTTAGCTTCTAACTGGGCTTGCCCACACTCACGGGGACTTATTCCTCTGTAACTTGAATGTGACTTAAGTTGGTGATCTGTGATGGGATCCTGGTAGATCTGCCACTCCTGTTCTATCGGGTTAAAACTGCTCCCCCGAATATGTTTCCTTATCTCCTCTGGTGGGGATCTTGACTGCTCTATAGTCTGGGCAATGGATTGTAGGGCTCCATGAACTGAACTCAGCCCAAGGGAGAGATCCTGTTGAAACGTGTTAAGGCCTTGGCTCAAGTCTCCCCTTAACGTCTGTTGCTCCCTCCTCAGTTCATGTACACATTCTCCCTGCTCTTTCACACTGCTCGTCAGCAAAGTTGTTTGGAGCTGCTGTGACACCAGCTCCCTCTGCAGTGTGAACAATTCTTCACTCATCCGGCTAACTGGAACCTCCTCAGTAGAAGTTCTTGGCTGATTAATACCATGGGCTCCTCTTGGTGGAGTCGCATAATTTGATAGCACCCGCTGCTCGGTTCCTGACCAGTATCCAGTACTTTGCAGCGGAAATGCCCTCTTCGGCCTGTTTGGTGATGGCGTATCTTCCACAGGAATGGTGTCATCCAATACCATGTCATCACCTCCTGGTTGTCCTTTGAAGAACACCGTCTTTTCACCATCTAATTGGAGGTCCATCTCCATGTCTCTATCTGTTTGGAGCTTGCTCTCCATAGCTCGGCTTGTATCCGTGTCTGATGTTGCCATATTGTGCTCGGTACTATCGTTTTACTTATCCCACTTCTGACACCAATGTCGCGTTCCAGACTTTTGCTGATAGTCTGGAAGCGATGAGTTATTTTTCTACCTTACGCTTCCTAGTGGGCCCAGTCCTGGTTTGATGGACTGGATAAAACGACAGTCACAAATGGCTTCCAATTTAATAGATATATTTTTACACAACTATTAATACAGGAAAATAACACTTTAATGTTCATAAACTAAAATGTCACTATAATTCTCTTTGTAGGATGGATGTCGGCGGTTGCTGCGTTATTAGCTCTTTGCTTGGCTCCCTGGGCTCTGTAGCCTGGCTCCTCTGGCTCTTGAACTTGGTTCCTCTGGCTCCTAAACGTGGCTCCTCTGGCTCTTCGTCCAGCTCTTTGGCTCCTCTGGCTCTTGAGCTTGGTTCCTCTGACTCCTGAACGTGGCTCCTCTGGCTCCTCGTCCAGCTCTTTGGCTCCTTAGCCTGGCTCTTCTGGCTCTTGAACGTGGCTCCTCTAGCTCTTCGGCTCTTTAGCCTGGCTCCTCTAGCTCTTCGGCTCTTTAGCCTGGCTCCTCTAGCTCCTGGACTTGACTCCTCTGGCTCCTCGTCCAGCTCTTTGGCTCCTTAGCCTGGCTCTTCTGGCTCTTGAGCTTGGCTCCTCTGGCTCCTGAACGTGGCTCCTCTAGCTCTTCGTTGAGCTCTTAAGCTTGGCTCCTTTAGCTCCTGGACTTGGCTCCTCTGGCTCCTCGTCCAGCTCTTTGGCTCCTTAGCTTGGCTCCTCTGGCTCTTGAACGTGGCTCCTCTGGCTCTTAAGCTTGGCTCCTTTAGCTCCTGGACTTGGCTCCTCTGGCTCCTCGTCCAGCTCTTTAGCTTGGCTCCTCTAGCCCTTAAGCTTGGTTCCTCTTCTTACTGGGAAGGCTCCTAGCTGCTCTTTGCTCTAGAAGTCTTCCTGGAACTATTTCTGTCAGCGGTGAAACCAACTGACAAAATAGTTCACTGTGACTCTTGACTCGACTCTTCTGGCTCTTTAGCCTTGCTCTGCCTCTATGGCTCTTGAGTTTTCTGGGAAGACTCCTCACTGCCCGATGCGATGGAAGTCTTCCTGGAACTATTTCTGTCAGCGGTGAAACCAACTGACAAAATTAGTTCGCCGTGTTGGGAAGTTTCCCAATTTCACCTAACGATAATGCAAGGCTGCTTGCAGGTTGTTCCTTGCTGCTTCCCCTAGGACAGCACTGAACTGTGAAGAATTCTTGACAACACTTTAGGCAATTAATGACACGGTGTTGTTTTACATTAAATCTGACAAATATCTCACTTTGGAAAGCCTGGGACACAAAATGGCGACACACAGTAGATCTCAATACCCGATGAATTAGAACCTACAGTCAGTCAGAGGCATCTCAGTAGCATGCTGGCCATGAAGTTACAAATTCTGGTACACATGGAATGAAAAATTACAGTCAGTCAGAGGCATCTAGTAGCATGCTGGCCATAAAATCAAATCAACAAAAAGGAAAAACCTCACCCGAATAAATGCTTCTTTCTCTAAGTTGCCAAAAATTCAGGTTTTCTCTGTTGTTTCTCCTTCAAGAACCTCCTGGTGCGTCTTCCCGCTTTATCATTCGTTATTAATCCCGAATCCTTAGCAGATGGCTACTCTAAAGTGTGATAAATGTGGATTTCCTCCCAACCTTTGATTCACGCTGCTTCCTTCAAGATGGCGACCTTCCTTCTCTATCATGTGATGGCATGAGTCATAGGCACAGGTGAACACATTTTGAAATCAGGGGCACTGCATTGCAGCAATTGAGGGGATTCCCCTTCCTGTCTTGGAATACCCACTTGTGAGCAGGGGTTTCCCCATCCCTTGAATAAATGGACCATTAAACACTGAATTAAACAATAATCTGCACCAGTGGGAAAATTAAAAAGGACAAACACAAAAAATGAAATTTTCCCACAGTATCAATATAATAAATACATCTTTGGAATAAGATGTGCCATATTTAAAAAACAGATTGTATGCATGTGCAAAATATATTTTGACATGTTATACTACAGTATTGTATGAAAGTATGAAATATTTATATTTAATGTTGATTTGAATTATTGTTTACTGCTGAATACTGATATTTCTCTTCAGCATAAGTATGATGTGATGTACAAAATGCTGGAAATGACAGAAATGGAAGCTGACCACAGGAAAAAGGTTAAAGCTGCTGAGAAAGAGGAAAATAAAGAAAAGTATGCACTCCAATAATAACAGAGCTTAAAAAATCACAGGCAATTATCAATGCTTTTTGATTAATTAAAATGTGTGGATAATGTTTGTATTTGGATGATGTTACATGTATTTACATGATTTAATTAAGTCTACAATTATATGGCCTTATTTCAGTTTTGTCTGAAACCTTAATTATTTTCAGATCGACCCTCCTACATAATTGAATGATATGTTGCTCTGTTTTTCAAAATCACTAACTCCATTGTAGAAAGTTGGCTATCAGTCCTAGGTTGGCAACAACATCAAGAAGAGTCACCTTGAACCATGAGGCAGAGAGGCTCACAAAAAATGCAAATACTGTTTTTGTAAGTTGAAAGTTTAGCAACAGAATAATAATATGTTTAACTGAGTGTAGTTAAGTCCTATGCATGGTTTGATTTTATTGTTTTTTGAAATTTTCAAATCCCATTTAGATTCAACATTGCTTGTTCAATTATTTTAGGTTCAACCTTCGTTTTACATTTTTCAGAAATAAATATATTTCTAAAGCAAGATTTTATTTAAAAATTAACAATGGCTGCATATTCTAAAATGCTCATCCTTTCATCTGCATAATGCAACTTGTTTCCTCATTGCTTTCAGGAAACTTTACCTGTTGAAAAACTCACCAAGATTCATAGGTACAGACCACATAGTGACAACGTAGAAGATGTCACTGACAATGGGAAAGTCATGAATTATACACGTCACATAGGGGCTGCACTACACTCTGAGACATATGTGCAGTATTATCAGAAAGAAGGTGAGAGAGTCAAGGAAACTATTATAAGTACTCCATAGTATGTTTCATTCTCAAAATATGGCTTATTTGAATAGGAATTATTTGTATTAATTCTTTTCAATAGGTTTTAAATTTTTTTCATTCAGTCCTTGACAAATTAAATTGTTTGCCACCTTTCACTCTTGTTTATATAGTATTATATTTGTAGTACATGTATTATACATCAAATGAAAGTTGAACAAGTGTGAAATGTTTTACTTTCAAATGTATTTTCAGGCCTAGAAACCGGATCAAAAATGAAGTCACCTCGGCTGCAAAAAATAAAGGTTAGTATAGACTATAGGCCTAGCTTGATACCATTCCTCACATCAGTATTGTTTGCTGGATCAATAAAATGCCACAATAAGATCTTATTAACCTTGAAGTAATGTGATTATAGTATTAAATGAAGTTGGTAAAACCTGAAAATCTTCATATACATTTAATTTTTGAATAACATCATTTTAGCCCAAACCCAAAAATACTGAAAAGAAGTCCCCACGTGAAAATGAACGGAAAGACAGTGACAAGAATGAAGACCCTAAACAAGATGAAAGATACGCACCAAAGAATGCAGCTCATTATATGGTCCAGAATGGAAAACCAATCTCTCTGGATGACAAGTAAGTTTATTCAAACTTCACTTTTTAATTTCAGACCAAAATGGATAAAATTCTTAAACTATAGAATAACCCTTTGATCATTGCTCATCTTTTGCTTTTATGCTTGTTTGGAAGTCATGGAATATTGTTGAATAAAAACATGATAATATAGAAAAGAAAATTGTTCCCAGGCTTTGAATTGATGCCTTTGTGTTTAAATCATTAACCCTTGATACAGAAATTAAAATCGCCATGTTCAAAGTGATAACATAAATGTACATAGTACCATGGTGTTCAATTCAGGTTTCAAGTTCCAAAAATCACAAGTAAAACATGATTTTTCATCTTATATTCTAGAGAGGAAGAAAAAGATCTGAGGACCAAGAAATGGGTAAAAGAAAGTCAAACAAATGACAAAGATCCCAATCTAAATAAGACTAACAGTATTAATAAGAACAGTGATGATAAAGATCATGAAACAGACGAGTTAGATACAGCATCTGTGATAAGCCAACAATCAATGCAAAGTAACGCCAGCCATAAGAGTAACCAGAGCAAATATAGTAACCATAGCAACAAAAGTAAAGCTAGTACCCATAGCAACAAAAGTAAAGCTAGTACCAATAGCAACAAAAGTAACGGCAGCAACCACAGTAATAAAAGTAAAGGTAGCCACCAAAGTGAGAAGAATTACTGTGGTAACCTGACTGCTGATGAGGACAATAATAATGAAGATGAAAGTATTAAGTGTGTTGGGGAACAAGTGAATGACAAAAATGATGACCAGAATGAACATTCTGAAGAGCATTTTGACAAAGTGAAAGACAACAACATTAATGATGAAAATCATGATGACCATGTAAACGACATGGGTCAGGAAAATAACATGGATGATCAAAACAATAATTTACATGATAATAAATCAGATGATAATAATTCAAATGATAACAAATCAGAGCAAAATTATTCACATGATAATACAGAAGAACACAATGATTTAGGTGACAATGAAACAAATGATAAGAATGTTGAGAAACATCACAGTGTCAGTGAAGATACACAGAGTGCAAGTAGTGCTACTGAAATCTATTCTTCCGTAGAACATATAGATAGAAGATCAAATATGCTTAATTGAAATTATTTGCCAGTTGCTGATGGACTGGTTATTATATTTAAGTTATTCCATTGTTTTACCAGTTAATGTCATCTTATACACACATAGATAATGAAAAGTAATGAAGTTGGCAGTGTTCTTCCAAGCAAGTGGCTGGGTAGTGTATGTCACATCCTTGTGAATTTGATGCACCCAGTTCAAAATCCATGAGCACATTTTCTACAAAAAAAGGTAAACTTGGGTGCCTAAAATTTCTTCCTCGTCTCTCAAAGTAGAATACTTTTCAACTTCAAACTGCACAATTATTCTAATAACCTCAATCTATGGTTATTATCACCTAGGTCTGAATATTCTGAGCCGATACCTTAATATTCGATCCAATTGCTTAATATTCAGATATTCTGATCACATTGCTTAATAAAATAAAGGCTGTGTACATACTTTTGTGCTGAATACATGTCATATTTTTTTAATATTATAAATAGAAATAATTTTGTAAAACAGAGTTGCCATTTTTCAAAAAATAAAAAACACTAAAATAATGGATTAATATGTTATTCTTATTTTATCATTATTATTTATTTCTCTTTATTATATACAACATTTACATTTTTAATGTACATAAAATAGACTTCATTCATAATGAATATAAGCATTTGGACCACTGTGTTAACATTACTTTGTGCAAATCAACTTGACTAACATACACTATAAGGTGTAAGGCCAGGAAAAAATAGATGCGTTTCTGGTCAATAGGGGAATTGCATACTCAAGGAAAAATAGTGGGTTCACGTGGTTAATAAAAACTTAAACTGGATGTGAGCCTTGGTTGAGGTGAATGGCAGTTTTCTTTTGTCCAAAAATTATTGATGGCCAGACAGACTGACAAATGAACAAGTGACCGATTCCACCATGTAAGCCAAAAGGTATTGGGTCCTATTTAAATGGTAAATTATTCTCCAAATTCGAACATGTACATGTACAGGGTGTTCATTAAGTCTCTACACTTTACACAGACTTTGTATAGGAATTGTAAAGAGCCTAAGTTTATGGACACCTTGCACATCATGTGACTTGATGACCAGACACAAAAATATTTTTTCCTGGCATGTCATTGCATTTCTTAAAAAACACTTAAAGATTTAGTTTATTTATTTTACGTTATCCTTGACCGACCTGGTGATATTTTAATGACAAGTGTTTATTTATAATTGTAGAGGAGTTAAAAATAGTATTTAGTGTGACAGATTTTTAGCAAATTAATACTAATTCAAAAAAATGTTGAATTTATATACATTATTTAGAACATGTAGGATCAGGTTCAATTCTTGGTCCCAATTTTTATATTTTCTATACAAATGCTACACATGACATCTCGGTGTCACTTTATTTAGAGACTTTTGAAATAACATTACAAACATTATTTCAAAGAACAACAAGTGACATTTTGCTGACTTATGCTTTGAAAACTAATGGTTGCACATTCATTCTTAAGCCTACTGACTAGGAAGACACTTTTGTATTTTATTAAGAACAAAGTATCCACTTTTAAAACTATGCCATATCATTCAAAAAAAGTATACAATACTTTTTATCGTACCTGAAAAAGGTACTATATTGTCATCAGCTTGTTCATTTGAAATATATGTACATCAGTTGACATGGGCATATTTTTAACATTTTAGTTTGTAAGTTATAGTGACATTAGATATTATATTGCACCACACCATGTCTATAACTATAAAGAATAAGGGGTTTCATTTTTCATAAAATGCATTACTTTCGCAAAAACACATTGACATTGAACACAGGTTTAACATATCAAGCAGTATCATTGTCTAAATTATAACTCTAATATTAATTTTAAGTCACTCCTTGTTGTCAGAAACCACCAGTTGTCCATTAAAAATTTGTGACAACATGCAACATTTGCTTTTTTTACATAGGCTGTACATTTATTATTGTGCTTACACACAATATTAGACTCATCTTTATAAAACACTGGCTTGGTCCACATAACAAATAATACAACAACACTGGTTATTTTGCATAATTTGCCAAAACAGGAGAGTCCAATGAGAAATAAATGCTGCCCTATAAAGTTCTTTTCCATAGAGAGCCACCTGATGCTTTTGACAATCTGCAACAGCTTTAGGCGTACAATGTATATAAATATATATAATCTATTGATAGGGTACAATATTAAATAATTTCAATAATTAACAATAAAATAAGAAAACTTCATATTAGCCTGTGCAAGAATACACTGTGACCATTGGCATTATTGTAGTAAAGATACAACTATATAATACAACAATAATATAATATTACATAGATAAACACATTCTATTGTTAAAATATTTAATTGAGTCATGACCACCCATACTCAACATCTCAAATTATAACAAAGGTTACTTTCAATCGATTTGTAAATAAGTGTAATTGACAAAATATAGGCATTAAGTAGGCTATTTACAAATATTATAAATCTAAAATCTCAATATATAACATATGGGAGTGGCTTAGAAACAACCACATAGTATTAAGCTCCCCTTGTCTTAGCACCCCACACACAACCTTTTTACTTTTTATGCACATGCACAATTTAAACGCTTTCCTTGTCATCATTTTTATTTTTAAGTTTTTGACACTCAATATTCTGACTCAAATATTCCTGGTACATTTGAGTATGTTTATTGAGAACTTGTATATGTTAGAGTTCATTGAGAAAGTATTTGCATTGTGCATGTGATATGAGGCACACTGTTATGTGTTGGGTACTATATGTATACATCTCCCCATGTAGAGATAGGTAGGGTAAGACTATTAGATTTTTGAAAACGAACTAACATTTTAAACCTTCTTTATAATACAAACAGAGAATAGTAAAATGATGATCATTATTCAAACTTGTAATATTTTTTCTGAAAAGACCTCCAAAAATTTACTGACCAGCCCCTAACATCTGTACATTCGTTAAATTAATGTCTATAGGTTAGAAAATACCAAATTTTAATATATTTCTAATATTTGTATTTATCATTAACAAATTGTATTAAAGGGGTATTCCTTGCCAGACCATCTCTCTCCTAATATGGTAGCTATAACCATATACATACTTTGCAAGTTTATCAAAAAAACAGAAAAATATTTTGAAATGGTCAATATTGATCACTTAAAAATGTAGTGCTCAATTCCAGTAGGCTGCCATCTTTTATAATTTCACTCAGGAAGTGATGTCATTGACTCTCAACTTTGCATATAACATTAGGTAAGGAGCTATTAGAATTACTAAACCAGCTGAATATTTTTTTTCAATTTGGTCTATGATTAAAATCCTTTTGATGATCTCTTCTTAAGTTCTAAGTTGACAACTCCTGAAAATATTTTTACACAGAAGATAAGGGCTTCTTGTTTAGACGTGATTTTGCACTTCTTTCCTATACTGTAATAGACAAGGTTATAACAGGTGAGAGTCGATGACATCACTTCCTGAAAGAAATCTGAAAAGATGGCAGCTTACTGGGAATGAGTACTACATTTTTAAATGATCAATATTGACCATATGAAAAAATTTTCCAGTGTTTTGCTAAATATGTAAAGTATATATATGATTGTAGCTACCATATCAGGAGAGAAATAGTCTGGCAAGGAATGTTCCTTTAAGCATCTTTTAGGATTTGAAACACATGTTAAAAATAAAAACAAACACATGTAAATGCTGTGGTGTATGAATAGCACTATTTGTTTAAAATAACATTTCGTACTTGCAATGACACTTATAGAACAACTTGCACCATTAATATTAATTAGAAAAGAAGACATAAAATTCACACAATTAAGATAAGAAAATACTATAAGTTATTGAATGATTTGAAGTGCAATACAGGATATATTCTGTTTGAGAAATTTTGTATTGGCACGAGGTGAAGTCGAGTGCCAATACAGAATATCAAGTCAGAATATATCATTCAATAACGTTTTTATCGTGTGATCCTCTGTATTGCTACTGAGATTGTCCCCTCCGTACCAATATTTTCTGTTTTGCGATGGAGATGATCAACGGGGACAACCTCAGTAGCAATACAGATTGGTACAGCACAAGAACTGACCAATCAGAGGGCTTCATTTTACAGATCATACGATAAACAATATTATTGTTTTATCAAAGTGTATACAAGAGAGTTGAATGTCTACAAGAGACTAATGCTGATAAAAGTGGAATGCAAACAAATACAGAAAACCACCTCAATGTGAAGATGAAAATAGGAAGAAATATTTGTCTGTGAGGGGTTTTTCTGTATTGCTTTTATTTAGGCTATATACATAGTTATAGTAAATAGTAATCTATATGGTTAACAGCAGTTGTATTATTTGATTGCCATTTAGCAACAGTTTAGTTAAGTAAGCAGCATCCTTGTAAAAATTATGACATATTTTCAATTATCTAGTTAACCAGCTGAGATAAATAAATGTTCACAAAATTAAATATGTCTAACTTAAAGCATATCTGAACACCTTCCTTATCTGTCCAACTTGCAATGTAAACACTTTTTGGTCCCAGTTTTGATCTGCCAGACTTCCATGCCAAAAAACTCAAAATGTGAACACCTGCCAATCCGAACACTTTTTGCTAGTCCAAGCGGCGTTTCAATTTGACAGGTTCGACTATAATTAGATATTAGACTGCATCTAAAACTCTTAATTATATTTATATTAAGAGTCTACTTCAATAAGAACCTACTACAGACTTAGTTATATTATATTATAATTTCAGAGCTTTTTGAGACAGATATAATTTGAAGCCATGAAATCTAGGGCTTGAAGTTCTTTAATTTGACACTTATATCACAATAAAAAATCATGGATGGAAGATATTATAAAGAATCCCTGATTTTTAGTACATATAATTATATTTTATTTTAAAATAGTTTTTTTGTAGTTTTATAGAGAATTATATTTTGATTTGACTATCACATCTTATGCTATACAAGGCATTAACATGACAAAATGTCACCACCTAAAACAATTTGGTCAATTTAAAGCAAGTTGAAAACAGACCTTTTTGACCTTTTTTGACCTTGAGAAGGTCATTAAAGGTCAAATGTCAAATCTAAAGTCAGATTTGAATTTCTGAGAACATGTAGATGATTTTGAAAAAAAAATTAGTCAATTTGAAGCAAGTTGAAAAAAGACCTTTTTGACCTTTTTTGACCTTGATAAGGTCATTGAAGGTCAAATGTCAAATCTAAAGTCAAATCTAAAGTCATATTTGAATTTCTGAGAACATGTAGATGATTTTGAAAAAAAAATTTAGTCAATTTGAAGCAAGATGAAAAAATACCTTTATGACCTTTTTGACATTGAGAAGGTCATTGAAGGTCAAATGTCAAATTTAAAGTCAGATTTGAATTTCTGAGAACATGTAGATGATTTTGAAAAAAAAATTTAGTCAATTTGAAGCAAGTTGAAAACAGACCTTTTTGACCTTTTTTTACCTTGAGAAGGTCATTGAAGGTCAAATGTTAAATCTTAAGTCAAATCTTAAGTCAGATTTGAATTTCTGAGAACACGTAGATGATTTTGAAAAAAAAATTTAGTCAATTTGAAGCAAGTTGAAAACAGACCTTTTTGACCTTTTTTGACCTTGAGAAGGTCATTGAAGGTCAAATGTCAAATCTAAAGTCAGATTTGAAGGTCAAATGTCAAATCTAAAGTCAGATTTGAATTTCTGAGAACATGTAGATGATTTTGAAAAAAAATTTAGTCAATGTGAAGCAAGTTGAAAAAAGACCTTTTTGACCTTGAGAAGGTCATTGAAGGTCAAATGTCAAATCTAAAGTGAGATTTGAACTTCTGAGAACATGTAGATGATTTAGAAAAAAATTGAAGTCAGTCTAAACAGTATTTGTTAAGTTATAGGAAGTTGTAAGAAATTGTTACAGACGCCGGACGCCAACCTCCAACCGCCGGACGCCAACCTCCAACCGCCGGACGCCAACCGCCGGACGCCAACCTCCAACCGCCGTCGCAAAAAAACGGAGACCATAACAATATGTCACCACTTGTGGTGGTGACATAATAAGGCTATAAAGGTTGCATTAGACACTACATAGTGTAAGAGAAAATAAGATTATGACTTTGTTCAGGTTATTAGTAATTAAAAGGAATGCATTAGAATAAGATGCTACTATTTAGTAAGATGAAAATGATCCAAACATTTGAGCACTGGTTAAGTTTAAATTAACTGATTTTTTCCATGAAGAATTGTGAAGTAAATCGACTCCATTGTTTTGCTAAAATTTACTAATTTGTATTGGACAGAAATCTGTATGATGCTCTTGATATATGGTACTCAGAATATGTATAGGAACACATGGTCAGTAGAGTTGTGAATGTTATAACTCTTATAGAACACAGGAAGTGTTTCTGGAAGATGAGGAATCACATTCACTGGAGTTAGTTAAATTGGGTAGATGTGTTGCCCATAATATGGTCAGATAAAGACTGGGCTAATATTCCTTAGATCATGGGTTGGGCTATTGGTTGACTAAAAAACAGCTAACCAATGAGTCAAGACCATCATAACTGATCAGGCAACTGCGCTAAAAGATGGCTGTGGATATCTCCTTCCATGGGTGTGTGCAGATGAGTCCTACTAATCAGTTCTACATCCTGGACTTTCACCCAGTCTTATCCGCTTCAATTTTGCACTGGATCATTGGATATGTATTCTGTATTACGACTTGAATAACGAATCAATTACCATGCTATTTTCCAACACTGACAAATCAGATGGACCTGATCATTTGGGTCCAGGCTTCTGGGCTGACTCTTATGTTGCACATTAAATTGGACCGATGTGGGAAATTGCTGATTAATTCAAAATATTTTAGTCCAGTATAAGCTTCATGTCACGTGAAGATGTTGTTATATTCCAATAAAATAAACTCTACCAACTGGTTCTGGTAAACCATACTGACTGCCAAGTTTCCCGTATCTGTCTCAGGCATGAGTAACGTAGGCCCAAACACTATAGCAATGTTCTGAGTCTGCATACGATTCTGAGCACTTGACAATATCACCCTGTAAATAAAAAAGTAATGGCATGAAGCATTGTCACATGAATTCAGAATTTCAGCAATATTTGATTTATAATTTGAAAATATTGAAGCGTAGGCATAAGCCATTGCCATTATGAATCTAGAACTGTTTCATTTATATTTTTTTGTTTTTAAATACGTTTAGCCTAATCTTTTGATCCCCTTTGCCAGCCCCTGTATGACCCACGAAGTAATGTTTTGTGTCTTTTGCTATTTCTTTTCAGTGGATATTTACATTTTCTGAAAATATCATCTAAAAAAGTTGTTTTGAATTTAGATTTGATCATTTCTCTCTACCCTTTTTGGGGGAGAACTTTTCACTTAAGGTTAAACAGACTAATTTGTCCTACAATTGCAGTACTTACTTGTTCAGATGTTGGAAGAATACCTTAATAGTGTCATGGTTACATTTAGGTAATACTTTAATTAAATCCTTGATGATGCGTAACTTCTGAGCACACTCTGGCATTTCTGAAAATGACAGGTTAAACACAGATTAAATATGTGGTTGAGTCATTTGTTTTTTAACAAAGGTAACTAGAACAAAGACAAAGCATTAACATGCAAAATGTCACTACCTGCCATTTGTTATGAGATCAACCAGCGAATGCATAACATCAATCTGCGACTAAATTTGAATTGAGCAGGAATCAAATCTCAAAAAAACTTCTCCTAGCCTATATACATCTTTATTCAGCCTATGCATTCTATTTACAGATAGCACATTCCCTTCCCCCCAAAATGATCAAAAATTTAATAGATTCAGAATATATACACTTACTTATGGCTGTGACAAATTTATCATAGAAGTTATATGGAAACAAAGGCTCCTTCAGCTCCCTGAAGAACAACTTGAGGGCTCCAGTCAAAACATGGATGTCAGGCTCCACCTCCATCAAATCATACTCATCATCTGAAATATTCAAATGATGATGATGATGAAGAAAATATTGTGGTGATGAGCAAAATGTCATACCTGTAAACACTGTTCCACAGCTGAATGACTCAAACTGCAGTTAGGTTCATTCAAGATGGTTACCAAAATACTTTCGTTTTCAATAAACTTCCGATTTCAGCTAAACTAAGTAGAATCTGGATTCCAAATGTTTAGCCTTGCAAATTAATAAAGCTACAATGAAAAATAACCACAAATACATGCTCCTATCAAACAACTGCGATATTTGAGAATTTTTAAGAAAATGGCTTCACTTAGAATGACTTTAACTGAAGTTGATGATGATGTAAATCAACAACTTCAGTAAGAGTCATTCTAAGTGTAGCCGTTTCTCTAAAATTCTCAAATATTGCGGGTGTTGGGGCATTAATTTGTGGTTGAATACAATCATAGATTTATTAATTTGCATGGCGAAACTTTTGGAAGAGATAAAATGAACACATAAGATGTCTGTCTTAAAAATGGGTATCACTTTTTCCCCAAAATATAGTTAATACACCCCAAATATTATTCTCCAAAATTGAATTAAACATAATTGATTTTTTTCAAATTTAATGTCCTTTTAATTTAAAGTGTTTTCAAGAACTGTTATGCTTGATTTACTTACTTTGATCTATATGAAATCGCAACTTCTGGACCTGCGCTAAATTGCCACTAACCCTGTATATCCCATCAACATCCAGTCCTGAAGACACAAGAGGACAATACAGCAACCATGATCCTCTCTGTTTTAATTCAATTAATAGGTAAATGTTTTCTGACATGTCCATAGGGCATGTTAATTTCATATTGAGTGTTTATAGCTTGAGGTACTAGCAATCCACCACAGAAGGAGGTTTTTGGTGCAGGCATATCATTTTGATTCTATGTCAAACATTTGTTATGCAATCTGCTGATCAAGATCTATGGTGTCAGTTTTTAGAGAGACTCTCTTTACTTTATGGCCTGAATTAAATTGCACATATCTTCATTTAACGGCAAATGACCAAATTAAGCGAACTAGGATTCAAAAGTACTCTGAAATACATCATGTCTATGCTTTGTGTCTCAGATCAGGGGTTAAATGAACTTTCTCATTCCATTACATTATTTGTTCATTCACTTTAGCTTGAGCTAAAGTTCTAAAAAGTTCATTTAACAATTAAAATTGATTTAGAAATTATGTTTATTGTAACAAATGTAATATGGTTCCTATTTTGATATATATTTTTGATTAGTGCTTATGAATGCCTAATTATCCTTCAACCTTGACTGAAATCAAATCTAAGCAGTTTGAGGTTTACAGAGGTGGAATAACATTTTAGCCTATTTTTAGCCTATTAGGAAATTGTTATTATTTGATGTTATATTGCACCCGTCTTTGCTAATCCAGGTCTATGATGATAATTTTAAGATAAATTATTTATATTTTATGGCCTGAATTAAATATTACACCCATCTTCATTTTATTTATGTAAAATGGTATCACAAAAAGTTATTTGAGCAATTTTTAGCAAATAAATTGTACTAGGATTCAAAAGTCCTCTGAAATACATCATGTTAATGCTTTTTCTTAGATTGAGGATTCCATGAACATTAGCTTGGCAACAGCACTTCTAGAAATTATTATTGAAAGAATTATATCAATTTGAATTGTACTTCCAGCTAATAAAAACCTGGCAAGTAGTCCAGAAAATCTTCATAGTTTGAAAACAAAGTCAAATTACATATGTAAAAGAACATACATTTACTAGCGTATATGTGAATGTTACCTGTACTCTTAATGTAAAGTTGACTAATGCTGCACTTGAAACATACCTGTGTCAACACCATTAATGAAAAGCTTAGAATGACTAATGATTAAATGCATACCCATTTGTTCAATAGCTGCCATGCATTTGGTCACAAAATTGGGAACTGTATTTTTTTCTTTCTCACACAGATGACTTAGATGCGACCCAAAGACTCCCTCTGAAAACAGAAAATAACACACTGCAAAAGAGATCAAGAGATACAAGAGTCTTCAATAAAAAGAATATATTTTTCACCAAATATTATCTGAAGACAACACATTGATGTCATGTTTCACTTGACATGAACATATTTCATAGATCTTTCATCTTGATGTAAAATAACAAATATGTTGCTCAACTATAACTCAAGAAACTGATATGATATTTCATTCAAAGAGATTATGTGTAAAAACAATTTAAATTGTTCATTTTATTTCTTTGCGACAAAGCAGATAGAAGGATCATCATTACATAAAATGATCAATGTCCAATATTTTCCCTCAATTGTTATGATTAATCAATTCAATGTCAATGTTTTAACAACAATGTTGACATCTAACAGAGGTGCTTCACGAGACTAAACAAAGTGTACCTCTAATAATGCCCTGAAGCTCTAGCTGCTCAACGGAAGGTCGTCTCATGATCCAGTTCAAGAGACGATCTCGTATTCTGATTTTCCTTTCTGCTAAACTTAACTGCAATGGATCAACTCCATCAGGGAGTGAATTTTGTTTAATGCTGCCTCCTATAATTATGATATTATCATATATTATCATATTTTTCAAAACTATTCAAACCAGAACAGAACAAATGTTTAACTTCATCTCACTGGATAAATGTCACATTAGTAAAAAGGTCCCACAACCTACAGACAATTTTAAAGAGTTAACACCAAATATATCAAGGTGAGAAAATGAAGTGCAGATCTAAAAAAATTTTTGAAAATCAAGAGGACCTGGGAAATGGCACTGACAGGTAAACAGATACTCTGGCTAGACATGTAGATACAATGTTATATGAATAGTAATCATTTGTGGTGAAGTAAAAAGCAGGTGAATATGTTCCAGTTCCATTTACAAAACATTTTATTCATCTCACCTGAACTATCATCTTTAACTTTATCTCTTTCCCTATCTTTCTTGGAAGCCTTTCTCTTAAACTTAGCCTCTGGTTTGTGGTCAGGGGGCTTATCTTTATCTGATGTACTGTTTTCTATTATATCTATCGACTTTTGCATTTCTGCAGGATCTTGGTAGCTTGGGAATACATCTTCATTCTAAAAACATTTATTTAAACCTTGACTGCCTATATGTGTTTTTCAGACACTTGAAATATTATTTCTACACTTATAAGACCCTATGTGCCAAGACAGGTCCTAGGCAATATCACAAGTGTGTGTAATAATAACTTTTTGTTCAGTGGCTATTTTTTGCTAGAGTCAAAGAAAAATGACTTCACTTTTAGCAGAGGTTTCATCCTCTTTGCGACATGTCTAGAAAACTTAAAAGATAACTTAAGTGGCACAAGTCACCAAAAACATTTAATTCTTTCACTTACCAGATGAGATATTGCATAACATATAGTGATGTACCAGTCATGTATTTTGATAGGGTCATCAGTCTGAAGCAGATACTGTGTTGAGTCTGACGTTGATACCTTTAAAGAGATAACAACATTTGATGGACATTGAAATAATTGGACACCTTGTGACAAAATAATTTTGCCATTTGGATTATGTTAATCTGATGTGTGTAAAATTTAACTACATAATGACAAGTGCAAATAAATTGCTCCTTTTAACTTAATCCAATATGGTTATTGTAAGTCATCAAAAATACTGTTGCAACTATGTGAATGTATGTAAATACCCAAAATATTTCTTAAATATTCTGCATATTTCACTTACTTGTATGACATGCTTCCTACTAGATTTATCCTTTGAACTCCACTCTACTTTGGCATTTACAAGATTAAGACTTGATTCTGGTTTACTCTGGAAATACATATACATACTGGTACATGTTTTATTACAAAGAATATCATACAGTCGTCAATACTAATGAGAACATGGACGATACATTCATCAATGAGAACATGGGAAAAGGGGTTTACTTGGTGAGGTGTTAACAAACACTCCTGTACATGGATGATGTTTACTGTTAAAACAGCTGGAATCAATGATGAAACTTACCCCTTGAGCAGCTTTTTGGTCCTTGAAGAAGACGAGACTACTACCATTGAGCACGACATAAGAAGAGTTCCAGCTCTTCCTGAAACACAATAAACACATGGGAGTCATCTTTAGAAATTCTTATCTAAATCCTATATTTTTCTCATATATGCAAAGACAGAGAGCTGGGGATTTGATGTTTTATTATTTTATTTAGAGAGCATTACCAAAATCTGAAATGATTTCCTTTTTTGATAAGAAGCCATATGCTTTACTGTAAATGACACAAAAAGTGTATTGTAACTGGCAAATACATGTATGACTTTGTGATTATCTGAAATAAAATCTATCAAGGTATACAATTAATTAGAAACTTACTTTACACGCTTTCCATGTTCCAATATTTTAGTTCTATTTAAATTCCCTCTTTTGTCTGTATACTGAAATTAGTAATGGAAAACATGTTTGTATGCTTATTACATAAAAAAAATAAAACAAATGAACTCAAACCTAAAGATATGAACAATAGGGATCCTACAGTATATAATCTAACAATATTTATTGCGATGAATTTTCAAATTAAAACAATATGAGGTGATTATTTTGATAATTTGATGTATCATGAAAACACTAATGAAAAATGAAGGACATGTGCATAATAGGAACAATACTGTTTGATTTTTGAATATTCTGAAACTTCTATCACTAAGAAATACAATGTATTGAAAAAATAGTGTTTGAAAAGTCGTCATCTTTCCATAAAAATGTATTTGTGCAAAATAGTGATGCAAACTTTGAAGCAATACTGAAAATGTGACATGAAAGCCAAGCTGTGAGGTCACACAAAGCTGTGATTTAAAGTAGTAACAGTACATGTGCCAATCAAATATGTGATATAGAGTACAAAAGAGGGTCTACGTTAAAAGCAGAGCCATTTCATTGTGACAAATCTCCACAAACTTATTCAATAGAATTCTTGCAAAAAATGACAAAATTTCCAACAAAATGTGTGAATTAGTGTCTCAAAGACACTAAAATGAAATTTGAAGTCACAGTAGAATCTCTTGAAAAACAGCAACTCCTCAGAGAAGCAAATCCCACTGAACAAAACACATTTTATTAAATCGCTCATCAGTTTGAAATAACCAGGCACTAGTATAATAGTATTGTGAGCTTTGTCTCCTGCACTCATTATGTTTACTCATTGTGAAAATAATCTAAGCACACAAATCACTGAATTGTGGGAGACTTAATACAACATGTATTGTATAATCAGTCTATAAATTGGGGCTATTACCCTCATTCCTCATTTTTGCATAAAAGCATCCACAATTTAAATTCTTGCTATAAAACTGATCCAACGCAGGATCTGAGAATACATGTACTTAATGTCAGATATAAAATTGCAATAAAGGAATCTGAATTCTCCAATTCAGTCATTATTGTATAAATAAAACAAGGCATTAACATGACAAAATGTCACCACCTAGTTGCTCACAATATTATGAGTTCAATCTTAAGTCAGATTTGAATTTCTGAGAACTTGTAGATGATTTTGTAAAAATAAACTGGTCAATTTGAAGCAAGATGAAAAGACATTTTTGACCTTGAGAATGACATTGAAGGTCAAACCTTTTTTGACCTTGAGAATGTCATTGAAGGTCAAATCTATAGTCAAATTTGAACTGTTGAGAACTTGTGATGATTTTGATGATTTTTTTCAAAAAATGGTCAATTTGAAGCAAGTTGAAAAAAGACCTTTTTGACCTTTTTTAACCTTGAAAAGGCAATTGAAGGTCAAATCTTAAATATAAAGTCAGATTTGAACTTCTGAAAACATGTAGATGATTTTGAAAAAAATTGAAGTCAGTCTAAACAGCATTTGTTAAGTTATTGGAAGTTGTAAGAATTTGTTACAGACGCCGGTCGCCAAGCGTCAACCAGCGTAAAAAAATGGAGACCATAACAATATGTCACCACTTTTTGGTGGTGACACAAAAAACAATAATAAGAACTGATAAGCAACTAGAGTACATGTACATGTATATCAGATTTTAAAACAATCCAGATATGATATAAACATATATGATATCATCAAAGCATACATGACATCACCAGCAGCAAGAGAACATGTATATCAGGTTTCAAAACAACCAGATACAATATAATAAACATATATGACATCATCAAAACTTTTATGTCATCATCAAAGCGTACATGCCATCACCAGCAGCTAGAGTACATGTATATCAGGTTTGAAAACAACCAGATACAATATAATAAACATATATGACATCATCAAAACGTTTATGTCATCATCAAAGCATACATGACATCACGAGCAGCTAGATTACATGTATATCAGGTTTCAAAACAACCAGATACAATATAAACATATATGACATCATCAAAACGTTTATGTCATCATCAAAGCGTACATGACATTACCAGCAGCTAGAGTACATATAGATCGGGTTTCAAAACCACCAGATACAATATAAACATGTATGACATCATCAAAACATTTATGTCGTCATCAAGGCAAGTTTTATATCAGCAGCAAATAAAACAATCCAGATAAGATATAAAAATATGTGACATCATCAAAAGTTATATGTCGTCATCAAAGCATACTGTCTTGGCATCACCAGAAACTAGAGTACATGTATATCAACTTTTGAAACAGATAGGATATAAACATATATGACATCATCAAAACATGTATGTAATCATTAAATTAAAGCATGCATGACATCACAAGCAAATAGAGTACATGTACAGCAGCTTTTGAAACAGATAGATATAAACAAATGACATCATCAAAACATGTATTTCATCATCAAAGCATGGATGACATCACCAGCAATTCTACAATAAACTGTTTCTCTTAAAGAATTCATAATTGACATAATTTCTCAATTACTTTCATACTTTTACAAAGATGTCAAAAAGCGTTGATGTCTCAAAATGTCACCTGAATGTTAGATTATTGAGAAATTACACCAACTATGAACTATTGAAGGATAAAAGCAAAACAAAACATTAATGATGTCATTGATCATGTGATCATATGCAGTCACCTGATTGGGTGACAGAGGCATGTCACACCTCTGATCATCCATCCGAATGGCTTGAAACTGCAACAGCGACTCAAACAACTCATCGTCCTGTAAATTAATATCAATATTTAGTTCCAAGCATATTTAATACAAATGTTTGCCTTATTTCTGGTTCATAGTAGTGTTGTCGCGATGCATCGGCAATTTTCAGTGGTAAACATCGATACACATCGCGATGTACACACAGACAGCAGAATTTTTCTTAGGAAATACATCCTAAATAAATACAAAGTGAGGAAGGCTTCTTGAAAAAAAATGGAAAAAAATTCTTCCGGGTTTTTAATTTGCAAATTGAACATCATAAAACAGTTGAAACATGACTAATCAATACAGATTTACGATGAACAGGGTTCAAGGCTTGAGTTAACAATGAAAACTTACCGCAAAAGGATCGCAGTATTGTCAGGTCTTCGAAGATTGTTGGAGAGTTCGAAATATAGATCGTTGTTCTTCGCATAAGGCACTGTATACAGTGCGCGTAAAGGGACTTGCGTCAATGCGTACCACCTTCGTTTGTGCAAATTTTTACCAGTTAGTTTTTGAATATAACATGTTGTTGTGATGTTTAATCGATGCTAACATATCCCTTACACTTTTCTTTATCTTGGTGTGAAATAACAACCTATGATATTGATTAACATGCCAGAGATTGAAATAATATTATTCGAAGCGTTATTAGAAAATTTTGAACCGCCATATTTGTTTACCGATTTGGACCAATCAGGACGTTATGACATCTCAATACTAGTGGAACAAGTAAGTTTTTAAAACATTTTGCTGTTTGTTCAGTATCACGAGGCTCAATTATGACCAAGAACAAAGTGAATTTGTTATAAAAAGACCGTAGAAAACAATGGTACAGGTTTCATAAGGAGTAGTATTATGATACACAGATCCGGAGCCAGATCCAGCCCCTATTGGTATTAGGCTCAAAGAATATAAGATAAGACACGGGCCAAAAAGAGCACATCAAAAAAATGACCACCCAAACATATGACCCTCGTACTGACCTTTATTTTTTCCATCTGTCAGACATTGATTGATCAATATTTACCCTGTGATCTCTTCTTTATGTATTAGTTTGAATGGTTGCATGATATCCATTATTGACGCTGAAATTCGACTTTTCCCGGGACATTTACTTCAAATTCTCAGAGCGTAAAGATAATGGAGCGCTACGGTAATTTCCGGCAGTGTCCGATGTTGTTCGTCTCTCAAATTACGTCACATCGCAACAAACAGCCAATGAAAGTAAAGAATCGCGTAGCCTAACAAACTGTTGTTATTGTCTACGGGAGTTTAAGAAACGTCATTGGACTTCTCGGTAATCTCTGATGTGACGTCATCCGGAGTGGCGTCACATTCTCAGAAAAGGCATTTGACTTCGGGAATAATCATTTGAACTGACGGAGATAGCCGAAGCGCTCCATTAAATATACGCTCGCTTATTTTATGCTTTTATCAACAGACGCTTTCTTGGATGTGTGGCTTTAGTGATTGAAGTTGAAGCTAACAACAGTACGCATCGTTTGAGGTATGACATGTGATATTTATTGAAAAACTTACTCCAAAATCAAGGAAAAATAAATTTTCCGAAGATCGCGTGTCTTGTCCTTGAGTATATTTATTGAGCCTAGACACAGAGGAGGTAATCTGGCAGAGGTCCGTGTTATGATAGAAGAGATATCGGACTTTCAAAAACCAGAAGTGAAATTATATCCATTTTCTCCAAGAAGCCTGCCTCACTTTGTATTTCTTTAGGATGTATTTTCTTAAAAAAATTCTGTCATCTGTGGATGTACATCGAGAAAAGTGCACTGAAATACCGAACGCTAATGCACTAAAATACCGAACAGAACAAATTAATAAGAGTACGCTGGTACATCCGGGGACTTCTAGTAACGGAGAAATAAAAGTAAATCTTTTTTATGGTTCATTTCGCTCGACTACCTAAAAAGTTTTAAAGCGAAAGAAAATCAGAAAACATTGGAAAATGAAACAAGACATGAGAAAGGTAAGCGATTTGCGTCAAAATAAGATAAGAAAGGGTGATTTTTAGCAAATTAAATTTTTTTTAAAACATCGATGTTTTGTTTCAGACATCGATGCATCGCCAGAATCAGCTTTGGCGATGTATACGCGATGTATCTATTAATCGCGACAACACTAGTTCATAGCCTGCTGCCATCATCCAGTTTTTGAGTATTTGCCTAGACAGACTAAATGACGGATAGATGAACACATGGACAGATGGATTGAGGGACAACTTGTCTATATCCCTTCTGTTGAAAACCTTTTGCAATGTGTAAAAATAATTTAAG